CCTGCTGACTGTGAGGTGAAGCGCAGCTCTACGACGAGGTAAGAATAGTTGTTGTTTTTGTTGGTCTAGTTGTGAGTTCGAAATGCCATCTTTGTGGATTTGGGGAAGCTTTGTTGTAAGAATCAATCAATATATCTGTTGCTCTGGTTCCGTGATGTGGTTGGTCGGTATCATCTGTATCTTTAAGGGGCACCTTAAACGCTGTATGTTCTATTATCACAGAATATTTCACCCTTTACAGACATGCATTCAAAGAATCACAGATGACGTCTCAAATGTTGACAATATTAAATTTCGATAGGTATTCAAATATTGCCTCCGAAAACAGCTGGATCGCAACATACATCATTATGGTTGCTGTCGAAGCGTGTGCCAAATAATGGTGCCGTATAGAAGATGAATCTGTTGAATGTCTTTCAGAGTGGGTCAGTACGTGGTGGTGTCATCGGTAGAAAAAGAGGAAACTTAATCAGAATATAAGCTGTGGGGCATTTGCCACTCCACGTGGTCACCATAGATGTCGTTACATCTCTTGCGGGGAAGGTTCAGGACGATATATCACATATTAAAGCAAATGTCATCTAAAAGAAGCAATATGTGAAAAGCTGGACTTCATATATAACATCCATGTGTGGGTAAGATAGTTAGGCAAGATGTAGACATCTCCATGGGCACCAGGTGTCCCCCTCATTGCTGAGGTGACGTGGGGCGTTAAACAACAAACAAACAAACAGTGCTGATGTCTTTTGTTTGTGCATCAAGTCAGAATTTCTGCTCGGATGGGCAAAGGGATTTTGGCAAAGAAGTTATTATTTTTTTATAGTTCAATAACGGTCAAATACTTATTCCCTTCCATTGATTTACCTACCTGAGCAAGGGTAGCCTAGTGGTTAAAGCGTTCGCTCGTCACGCCGAAGACCCGGGTTCGATTCCCGACATGGGTACTATGTGTGAAGCTCATTTCTGGTGTCCCCTGCCGTGATATTGCTGGAAGTTGCTAAAAGCGGCGTAAAACCATACTCACTCACTCTAAGCATAAAGATTCAGAGTTACCAAAAATATCGACAAGACTGTGTGACAAGAGGGACGACGACAAGTTTCAAATAGCCATTTTTCCTTCAATGTCGAGCAAGTTTCCAGCAGCCCCGGGATTTTGTGCCTACATTTTAACTTTGGAGGTATAGTGGAGCATGCTGTTACTACGAAGATGTCAAAGAGTGTTATGCATCACATTTTGACAGTGATTCATGAGCACGTGTTTATGATATAGTCGGAAACGTATAATAGTTGTTTATTAATGATTCTGTCACTTTTATTCATTGATAGTACAACTGCTAACAAAGCAGAAATCGTTAACTCAACTCAGTCTGGTTTGCGTGCCATCTGGTCCACTATTTACAGGCTGTGACATTGTTCGCACACTGCTGACTGTGGCGTTGAAAATCAACAAGCAAACAAAGCTTCGTTTATGCGTTGGTTTATGTGAGCGTTTGTATATTCATTTTTAAACCTTATGTGTTGTAAATTGTATCCAATTGGTTTATGTGAGCGTTTACAACAACAAGAAGAAAATTATTTTATTTTGGTGTCACATATTGTACATGTCACATACATACAGACACTAGATCTAACAAAGGGATTGATTATTTAGAGAGTAGTATTTCAACGGTGTTGTATGAATATGCCGATTGTGACATCATTCTACCAGGCGATTATAAGACACGAACTGGACGGTTCAATGATTTTATTATCGATGATTGTAACATGTTTATACTAAGTTTGGAAGATATGGTCTATATTTATGATTCATTTAACAAACCAAGAAATACTCGTGATGATGTGTATAATGGCTATGGGAAAGAACTGATTGATTTTTGTTGTTCATTCGGGGTTCATAAGTGGAATGGGAGATTTGAAGGGGATCCTGAAGATTCGTTCGCATCTTTTAAACAAAATGGTGCAAGTTTAGTAGATTATGTACAGTGTTCACACTAACCTGTTTGACAAGATTACGGATTTCAGAGTTCAGACTCGCTTATAATCGGATCATTTCTCTGTCTCTCAAGGTTTTTGGTTGGTTGGTTTGTTGTTTAACGCCGCACTCAGCAATAGCCCAGCTATATGACGGCGGTATCTTTTAAGGGAGATAATTATGATGACCAGGTAGTAGGCGATGCCCATAATGAACACATGACTTCTATTACCAGATTTCCATGGATTACCAATATTAGACATACATTTAGTGTTGTCATGTCTAATGTTTTGTCTTAATTTATTCTCGACCAATGTATTCAACTGTTGAGTGAAGATGTTAATCTGGCCGTCGACACCTCAAAATGTACTTTACAGGCGTGTGCTGCATCTTGTGACCTGCAACTTGACAATCGTCTACCAGTATCATGTTGTACTCATGTTAGACGTGGATACAGAGATTTATGTAGCAAGAAAATATAAATTGTCAATGCAAGGGAATAACCAGTCTATATTTTCTGCCGAAACTGATTCCGCTTGGCGTAAAGGGCAAATAGCTGTGGAAATTAGATGAATGGATAACTGGAAATCAGTGATGACACCAGGTGTTCGCGAAAATAATACTATGAAGAATCTGCAGTAAGCTAATTCATTGGAAGTGCTAATGTTGGTTTGTTGGTTTGTTGTTGTTTTACGCCGCACTCAGCAATATTCCAGCTTTATGACGGCGGTCTGTAAATAATCGAGTCTGGACCAGACAATCCAGTGATTAAGATCATGAGCATCGAGCCACGCAATTGCATCAACCAAGTCAGCGAAGGACCACCCGATCCCGTTAGTCGCCTTTTACGACAAGCATAGTCACCTTTTACGGCAAGCATGGGTTGCTGAAGACCTATTCTACCCCGGAATCTTCACGGGTCGGAAGTGCTAATGACAGTAAATCATTTTGGAAATAGATATCCAAAACGAACGTTTCTTGGGCCTATCATCTACAATAGACAATGATCAAAGGACGTACTATTTTCAAGATGTGTTTAACTGAGCATATATTCCATTTGACGACCGCGTTGTTCAACATTCATATATAAATTGAAAGCCATGATGAACTTTTATGCTGTATTGGCAATGATGAAGACAGAGATGTGACGCAGCGAGAGACTGAAGGTGCCATAAGCGATACAAATCAGGGGACGTTTGAGGAACCAGATGCGTTAAGGTCGAGATGCTGCAAGTTCCTTATAAGTTCCTTAAATCTATTTCGGCCTGAAATACCATAGTGCGACAACAATATATCCAGCTGAATGGGCAAACGTAATTACTGTGCCAATTCATAAGAAAGGCAATGTCGGTTATCAAGGGTCATATCATCGATGGACATATTTGGTAAACTGACTTGTACAATATCAAATGAAGGTTCAGGACGCTGTGCGGATTATTTTCAAAAGATTCCAGACGCTCAGGCATAATTTCCGAAGAGTTACTGTACAGCCGACAACATTTCAACCTTATTGCGTCTTGTCTAGACGTACTTATCCAAGACTGGTGGGAGATTCTGCTATGTTTCTGTCGTTTTTAAAAAGTCCTTTGACTAAAAAATCGGAAATTACCTTGAGGATATTATATTATGAAAAATGATATACATAGCAGGTTATTAACCCTAAAGAGACATATGTCTTTCAAACATTTTGCGGCGGATAGAATGTCTGACATTTCTGTTGATGAATATTGTGAATGTTTGCATGGTGTTGGACAGAGTTGTTACTTGAGTCCTATTCCTTTTGCAATATGTACCTACAAATTACTCTAGATTCCAAGAAAAATGGTATGCGGGTGTTGCTCCAATAAATATTTAGGGGTGTTATTTTCGAACAGGTTGTCACGGAGTAAATGCACTACTACTTTTCTGTAAAGTCATATAAGGTCCCTTATTGTAACAAAGATGTTACACCATACAATCCTTTGTATGCCCTCAACATTTACTCTAAGACTTTAAATGTTTTGCGTGTCGGTAAATATGTATCAACAAGTATTGCAATGTTGGCAGAATGCGGTTGACATGGTTTGTGTGTAGATTATTATGTTTAGTGTGTTACCTACTGGTGTAAATTAGTAAGAATGTCGGATACAAACTCTGTTTACTAAAGCCCAATATGGATGCAGTCGGCAGATGTATCAGTGCGTCACATGTGCGAATGATATTACATAATTTTGTATTTGCATGCCTTCTCTCATTTCAAAACTTCAGGATTGTCGCAAACAAACTATTCAGGAAAAACTTAATGGGTCATCACGTTTTTTCATTATAAACACATTAAGTCCTTATTATCTGTGGAATATTACGTAGCAACTACCGCGGTGATAGAAACCAGAAGGTATTTATGTTGATGCAGGTGCAATATTAGCATTAACGAAATTAATATTGTAAGTCGAATATGTAAGATATGTAACTGTAAAAATATTGAAGATAAACTCCATTTTGTTTGAATGTACTGCGTTAACACATTTAAGAACTTGTCAAATATTATGAAATGTACTAAATAGATAAACTGTAACGATACAACTACCCTCGTAAATTGTGCCAAAGTTGTAAAGGAATCTCTTAATTACAGAAATATGTAACTTGCCATAAACAGTAGTCAGCATGATCAAATAATACATTTGTCTCTGTCAGATATCAATATATTGGTATTGATTTAATTGAGCCAATGGCCTTCAAAACACTGAATAAACACTTACTTAACTACATGCAATTTATACATGAAGAATCTTTATTTGAAATGCCCGTGAAACAGCTGCCTACGTGTATCCTTCTGGATTAAGGACGTTAAGCCAGGATTTATATTCCACTAATCCACTGTCCTAATCCACACAAAAGAATTAACCGTTGCTAAATCTAAGAGTCTTATGCAAGGGTCTTGATGAGCATACACAGTAGCTTCTAGTTATTTTATGGTCAAACAAGCTGTGAAAGGCGTCCAGATGTTACCGCAGGAGTTGGCCAGGGCCTGTTACCGGCGTCAATAAATCATTAAGGAGACGTATCAGCGGGGCTGCTGCAACACCGGGAGAGGTGGCCACTAGGCTCCCTTGACATGTTTCCATGCGAACATGTAAGTGAAACTACACACCTAAGCACATGTTTGGCTTAACCTCACGCCCACAATGAGACGCGTGTCATCTACTATCTACCTTCTCCGTCCTGTATCTTGTCAGTCGCCAAAGCACTGAATGGGATGTGCACATCTCAAATATATAAGGTGAGTTCCATTTCGTTCCATTAGAGACCCATCTTTTCATTACTCATGATCAGTTCAGAAGGATATTTGTGTCAAATGTGAAATCTTTGCCACCACAAACATTATGCTACTTATTTATTCAACGCATGAGTGTTGAATGAACCTCTGTTCTGCAAGGATGGAACTGGATAGCACATGGACGTTCTGTTTACAGTAAAAATGTAAAATGTTTCTCCTCCTGCCTCTTCCTCCTGTTTTCGGAAAACTTCACCTCACGAAACAACACGACCCTCAAACGTCAGTAATAATGCCAGATACATATAGCATGAGGGCGAGGGTAGTTCGATCGGAATGCGAATCGATCGATCCCTATATAAGTACAATAAGTGAAGCCATTATCTGATGTCCTGGAATGCTCTAAAAGCGGCATAAAATCATACTCACGCTCTTACTCATGACTCCTTTTTATAATTGTTAATATGGATATTAATGCAAATATATTAATACCTTTTCAAAATTTGCATTATTATGCCGAAATTTGCCGAAATATGTATTTGATGTTGATGATCACTGTGGGATAATGGATCTAAATGTGCCCCAGAGCCCTATATATATATATGGTGACAATGTGTCACCTTCTGATTCTGCGTCATCGTGTCTCAAATCGCTGCTGGCGCTGTCAACTATAGGATCATGTTCCGCCCCTGTGTAGGTAGAGACCGACGTCAGGGTAAATGACGTGTCTGCAGCATAACGTGTTCCGTGTTTCGTCATCGAAACAGGAGAGGATGAGTGATAATTGATTAATGCCACATGAGCCACATTGCAGATGTTCGTGGTGGTGAAACTGTAGACGCGGTGTCCCTTATAACCATTCATTATGTCCGACAACAAGGTATCGTTTATCATGTAAGTGTACCCTTTGTGTGTCATACCCACAGTCAGTGTCATTCTAACCGAACACCAATAACATAATGTACAATCCTTCAGTTTTATTAAATACACAATTTTATTTTTTATGTATGGATTACATTTTGTATTTATATATCCATTATGTTTATAATCAGTATGCTATCCATGCTGAAGAAATGTTTCTGTTATAAAATTAGACTTTTATAAAATAATGTTGCGTGATTTGAGAGAAAAGTAATACTGTTAAATATTAAATAAAGTTGTACTTATAGTCCTCTTCCATTTCTTTGGAATAAATCCCGTGAATATCCGGGGTAGAATAGGTTTTCAGCAACCCATGCTTGTCGTAAAAGGCGACTATGCTTGTCGTAAGAGGAGACTAACGGGATCGGGTGGTCAGACTCGCTGACTTGGTTGATGCATGTCATTGTATCTCAGTTGCGTGGATCGATGCTCATGGTGTCAATCACTGGATTGTCTGGTCCAGACTCGATTATTTACAGACCGCCGTCATATAGCTGGAATATTGTTGAGTGCGTTGTTTAACAACCAAACAAATCTTTCGAATAATGTGTATTGTACGCCTGCTATGGTAAGAATGCCCAAAGTGACCAACCCTAGTGACCAGCCCTAGTAAACACCCACAGTGAACACCCACAGTGAACACCCAAAGTGACCAGCCCAAGTGAACACTGACAGTGAACACCCATAGTGAACACCCACAGTGAACACCCAAAGTGACCAGCCCTAGTGAACACCCATAGTGACCAGCCCTAGTGAACACCCATAGTGACCAGCCCTAGTGAACACCCACAGTGACCAGCCCTAGTGAACACCCATAGTGACCAGCCCTAGTGAACACCCAAATATACCAGCCCTACTGAACACCCACAGTGACCAGCCCTAGTGAACACCCATAGTGACCAGCCCTAGTGAACACCCACAGTGAACACCCAAATTGGCCAGCCCTAGTGAACACCCATAATGACCAGCCCTAGTGAACACCCATAGTGACCAGCCCTAGTGAAAACCCAGTGACCAGCCCTAATGAACACCCACAGTGAACACCCAAAGTGACCAGCCCTAGTGAACACCCATAGTGACCAGCCCTAGTGAAAACCCATAGTGACCAACCCTAGTGAACACCACAGTGAACACCCAAAGTGACCAGCCCTAGTGAACACCCATAGTAACCATCCCTAGTGAACACCCACAGTGAACACCCATAATGACCAGCCCTAGTGAACACCCATAGTGACCAGCCCTAGTGAACACCCACAGTGAACACCCATAGTGACCAGCCCTAGTGAACACCCAAAGTGACCAGCCCTAGTGAACACCCACAGTTACAAGCCCGAGTGAACACCCATAGTGAACACCCATAGTGACCAGCCCTAGTGAACACCCAAAGTGACCAGCCCTAGTGAACACCCACAGTGACCAGCCCTAGTGAACACCCATAGTGAACACCCATAGTGACCAGCCCTAGTGAACACCCACAGTGAACACCCAAATTGGCCAGCCCTAGTGAACACCTATAATTACCAGCCCTAGTGAACACCCATAGTGACCAGCCCTAGTGAAAACCCATAGTGACCAGCCCTAGTGAACACCCACAGTGAACACCCAAAGTGACCAGCCCTAGTGAACACCCATAGTGACCAGCCCTAGTGAAAACCCATAGTGACATCCCCTAGTGAACACCCACAGTGAACAACCAAAGTGACCAGCCCTAGTGAACACCAATAGTAACCATCCCTAGTGAACACCCACAGTGAACACCCATAATGACCAGCCCTAGTGAACACCCATAGTGACCAGCCCTAGTGAACACCCACAGTGAACACCCAAAGTGACCAGCCCTAGTGAATACCCACAGTGAACACCCATAGTGACCAGCCCTAGTGAACACCCAAAGTGACCAGCCCTAGTGAACACCCACAGTTACCAGCCCTAGTGAACACCCATAGTGAACACCCATAGTGACCAGCCCTAGTGAACACCCAAAGTGACCAGCCCTAGTGAACACCCATAATGACTAGCCCTAGTGAACACCCATAGTGACCAGCCCTAGTGAACACCCATAGTGACAAGCCCTAGTGAACACACACAGTGAACACCCAAAGTGACCAGCCCTAGTGAACACCCATAGTGACCAGCCCTAGTGAAAACCCATAGTGACCAGCCCTAGTGAACACCCACAGTGAACACTCAAAGTGACCAGCCCTAGTGAACACCCATAGTGACCAGCCCTACTGAACACCCACAGTGAACACCCATAATGACCAGCCCTAGTGAACACCCATAGTGACCAGCCCTAGTGAACACCCATAGTCACCAGCCCTAGTGAACACCCACAGTGAACACCCATAGTGACCAGCCCTAGTGAACACCCATAGTGGCCAGCCCTAGTGAACACCCATGGTGACCAGCCCTAGTGAACACCCATGGTGACCAGCCCTAGTGAACACCCACAGTGAACACACAGGCAGACACTGGTGAACTATGGATGTGGCACATGCGGTTCTATTCATGAGGAATCGCTAGCATGATACTCCAATACCTCATGTACAAACACAGAATGTATTGATAATCCATACACTGTAATATTCACTGGAGAGTTAATGGTTTTCAAAGCTCACACCTGTTGTAAGGCCCTTTGGTCGGAATTATTCTGGCATGTGTAAAAGTTCCACTACATTACATTTGTATATAACTGCAAAATGTTTCTTGACCATCTGATGTAAAATACCATGTTCGTCCAGATACCATCAACAAAAAATTGCTTTTATTTTCTTCAAATTTATCATTTGGTGGAAATAGGAAATAAAATGTTCAGAATGTTTGTATTGATAAAGCGCGGACTGACTAGGGATCATTCATAGAGCGGACCTGAGATTCGACCTGATGACCAGCAGGTCAAGGTGACTGGGTTACGTGAAAACTTGGACTCGTTAATGTTAAAACGAATCGCTTGGATCACTACCATGCAAACAAACCCTTCTTTTGAATACTGATATCTGACGAAATGTGGCTGATATGAAGAGCACGAATATTTGCATATGGTCTGAAGGCACATGTAAAGGTCACAGTTAAATGAGCAACGTGTTTGCTAGTGTGGCCAGCCACTCTTATTAAATATCCAGATCAGCCATTTCATTGCCACGTGGTGTCATATGTATATTAATGATTATCGTATATCATTGTCACTAGACATACTACAGCTATATGTACGTCATGTCTTTGTCACTCCGTGAACCTTGCGTGACCTTCAGTGTGTCCAAGACAGAACAGTGGACATCCATTGAATCAATGTGGCTTCTCCGGAAATTACGCGAGTGGTCACAAATGTACTTATTCATGATATTATCAACTGCATTTGACATCACACGCTTGTGTTGCATAGAAAAACGTTAACGATCGCGCACTTTGTGACATTCATGTTATTGTCGAGCATTTGTCGATTTACCCATATGACATTTAATGTTATTATTCAGTGCAACGATATCATTGTCCTTGATGCTGGGGGAAGCTTTGGTCACACCGAAGGCCGGGTTCGATTCCCCAAATGAGTACAATATGTCAAGCAGGAACAACCCCTCCCCCTACTTCCTGCTTTTATATCATATCCTGATTGTGTGTTGTTAACGCCGCACTCACCAATATACCAACTACATGTCGGCGGTCTGGACCAGACAATCCAGTGACTGATATCATGAGCATCGATCCTCGCACTTGGAATACGATGACATGCATTAACCAAGTCAGCGAGCCTGACCACCCGATCCCGTTATTTGCCTCTTACGACAAGCATGGGATGCTGAAGACCTATTCTCACAATAAGGCGCGGTTTAACTGGAATACTAAGTAAAATTGCATTTAAACTCAAGTCACTAAACTGAAACAAATCGAGCCCCCTCAAGCAAATCCTGTTCGCGGTGTTTTATCCGTTAATGTGTGACTGGATTTCTGGTCCATCACTTGATTGTCTGGTCTGTTTTCATGCCGCCGTTGTATGACAGGATTACTGCTGTGCGGGGTCAGGCAACAAATACATACCTTTTGATGCAATTTGTGTGAGTGGTGGACGCTACCTCTAGGGCAGGACCTGCTTCCCCTTTCTGCCAACACCTGGTTTCGTCACTGATTTCACGCGATCCACTCATATAATATTCAACGCTATTTTGCCTTTTACACCCAATGGGATTTGTTTAGTGAAATAATCGAGACTGGTTCTTTCCCAAATTGAAGTTTTATGGAGTGTATCGGTCACACGTCAGGTCATGGTTGTTAATGTGCTGATTTACCGTTATTCGCCAGGGACACGATGTGACTGTAACTTTCCCATGTATACGTCAGTCAACGTCTCGAACATAGAGTCCTTAGTGTGCTAATTGTGAACTGACGATAGAGAAACCGGACTCTATACAACAGAGGTACGGATTTCATTTTCAGACATTTTATCAATATTCTTATTACTTTTGTGATATTTATCATACGGCAAGTACCTGGTTCTTCAAACCACCTGTCACATGCATTCCCACATTATTACTTATTTAATGCTTGTCGACACGGGATTGGGTGGTCAGATTCGCTGACTTGGTTGGTGCATGTCATCGTATCCAAATTGCGTGGATCGATGCTCATGATGTCAATCGCTGGATTGTCTGGTCCGGACTCGATTATTTACAGACCGCCGGTGAAATAGCGATGATACAACAGGAATACACATGCAATTATTTAAAGTCGGGTTTCTTCAAACGATCTGTTATGCGTACCGAATACTTTTTTTTGGCAAGTCATAGACTTAATACTTGGCAATTTGCAATATTTACCTATTTTTCACGTGTAATATAAATAATCATTTATATGCCAGATAATGTTAGGAAGAATTTTGAAATTATGTGAACTGTATTCTTCAACTACCTTCACACGGAGTACTTATTTTAGTAGAATAAATAGGAAATTATATTCGGCAATTATGGGAACTATATTTGTCAACGTTTCTTTTCATGCGTATGTATACATTGCTAGATAAAACAGGGAAGAAAATGGCGATTATGAAGCTACGTTCTTCAACCTTTCTCCGTGTGCATACAATAAGATATATTGTGGCGGATAAAAAAGAATATTATTGTGCCGTGCCTGGCCCAGACAAGTGATACAAGTTTAATAGCTGCACGAGTACTCCACCAGTGTGTAGCTCAGTGCGCCCATTCTTGTCCCATTTCACAAAATACCATCTCTAAAAATAGAAAAATTTAATATTCTCATTCTTTATCCTACCGTCCATATTATATTTTAAAACATAACAAAAATAATTGACGTGTCTAATTAGTTATCAATTTCGGCCACCGGCCTTTGGGAAACAAAGTCTGTTAACCAAGTAATATCACGGCTTAAACAAATACAAGGCTTTACAATACTGGTTGTTTGTCTTGGTAGAGACGTGCCAGGCATGGGGCGAGCTGTGATTTACCTGTTGCCATAACTGATGTTATCGGGGACTCTAATCTCAGGGCGTGTTTAATGTTAAAGTCACACATGCGTATTAGCTGATAATGACGGGTGATAATGGCAGCCGGGGCATTTGTATGTTAGACTGACATGTGACGCATTGTCTCACTCAAATATCACTTTGTTTGTCAGCTCGTTCAAATATGATATTTAATCAATTAAATATGTCTCCTGGTATAGGTTTGTGTTCTCTCGCAACTCGGACTGTCGTGTATCGGGTGTGGTTTACCGTTATATTATAATTCAATCTAACGCCTTTGCGATTCCGCCTATAATCATAGAATAAAAGTCAAACATTACGGCGTCATAAATGATTCAGGGGCGGTTGCGTAGCCTAGTTGTTAAAGCGTTCGCTCGTCATGCCGAAGACATGGGCTCGATTCCCGACACAATGTCTTGAGCCCATTTTTGGTGTCCCCGGCGTGATATTGCTTGAATATTGCTAAAATCGGCGTAAAACCATGCTCACTCACTCATAAATGTTTCACGAGCAGTTCTTGCATCACGTAACCATTTTGTTTGTTGTTTCACGCCAACCTCAGCAGCATTCAAGCTTTGTAAATAATCCAGTCTGGACCAGACAAACCATTGTCTTTATCTGTAAATCCCGGGCTGTCGGGTTCGATGTCACCCAATCAAGCAAGTCACCTTCCTTGACCACATCCATTATTTCACGTCTTATGACACACATAGCTTGCTATTCTTACCCGGAATCTCCAAGGCAATAAGTTATTCACAGCATCAAGTTGATTATGGAAGCAATGGTCTTGCTATGTTTATTAAATCAATAAATCGATCCGGTAAAAGCTTTCTAAAGTTACAAATACTTTAGCATAACAGAATAAACTGGAGGTACACTTGGTATCACCCAAGTGTTAGCTATGAATTGTTTCTATTGTGCATACATAATATCCTTAACCTGTAAGGTAACGGGATCGTGTTATCAATTGTTGAGTATATATCTCTTTGTTACGTCCACGTATCGGCCTTAAAGGGCCAGTCAAACCAATTTTCGTGTGTGCACAAAACAAAGAGATCGGTTGTCATCACTTATATAAATTAAAAGTATTTCAGAAAATGTATTAACCTACTGATGTTTTACCCCAAACTAAGTGATTCTTTACTCAAGTTTGATTGCTCTTTACAAATGCACTTACACAATATAGAGAGGATATATCGTGGGATTATGGGGATAAAGTTTGATATACTGATATACTGTGGGAGGAAAGCCCGAAGTGATGCAGGTCTCAGACGTTTACCACTTCGGTGAAACCTACGAACACGGGTATGGTGCTGACAAACCTAGAAACATAATCGCGGCGAACCGGGATTCGAATCCACAATCATAGGTTTCTGGCATGCCCAAGGGACGCAACTCTACACAGCGAATCGCGGCGCCTTAGACGACTGTGCCACCCGTGCCCCCTCGCCTCTTACGACAAGCATGGGTTGCTGAAGACCTATTCTCACATTAAGCCGTGGTTTAACTAAAGTACTACATGTAAGTAAAACAGTGTTTAAACCCAACTCACTTAACTGAACCCAATCGAGCCCCCTCCAAGCAAATCCTGTTCGCGGGGTTTTATATATCGTGTGACTCGATATCAGGGCCAGTTAGGAACGATGACAAGGAATCAGCAAAGTGACCTAGCCTGATCTCCCGATCCATTTAGTCGCCACCTACGACAAGCAAGGGTTATAATACAGACGTACTATTTCAGCATGAGGTTCGTGTCTCTGGTTCTCTGGTTGTGTTGGAGGGAGCTAAAAAAGAACTATGCCATCCTTGTCCTGCTGGTTCTGGTGGTGGCGGGACTCAACCTCACAACCGTCATCCACCAAGATCATCAAGCCAGTAAGTATGAAGGAATGTTTCTCATGTTGACTTGTAATACATGCTCTCTTGTTTGTTTTCAGAACAATTGCTTTGCCATTGCATGTGTTTGTGACGGAAGTCACCGGTTAGGGCAGGATAAGTTCACCTTTTCGCGAACACCTGGCATCATCACTATTTGCACATGATTCACAATCTGATGATCTAGTCGTAATCCTCCAATGGAGATGTCTTATGAATATGGATGGGGAAACTTAAATACTTTCGAATCCCAGAATCACTCTGACTAAAATCATTAGTTTGTCAGCACTATGCCCGTGCTCGATAGTTTCAAGTGGTTAGAGTCCAGCTGTGTGCTTTCCTCCAACATTAGCTGACACGCCTAGATATAACTTAAATACGTTTCAAAACCCAACTCCCCAACTCGCGTTAATTGAAAGTTGAAAGTATTTTCTATCTACTTTTACGTGTCACCACGTAGGGCCGTTCATGATATAAGCTATATTCGAGAAATAAATAATTGCCTGCCAAAAAATTACATTGTTGCAAGATGTTTTTTTACTTTAACAAACATTCAGGCTAATAGTTTTAAATGTAAAAAAGTATCTGGTTTTCTAGCTGTAGCTGAAACATATCTGCATTGATATCTACTTACCTCCACTAACAAATCTGACGAATAAGACCTAGCACTGCTGTTGTAAAATACTATCAACATTTAACACAGTTACATGATATATATCCAGATCACCACTATTATCTGTAATAAGTCTATTATATCTAATAATTACTGCTCGAAATTTAGTACAGATAAAACTTGCCAAATGACTGATGCAAACACAAAAGGGACCGAACATTTAATATTCTGCATAGCTGAGCAGATCAAAGCTTGCGTAAGACTCATCCAACTGGTGATACAAGCAACACAATCTGTATGAATAGTCCCCTTGGGCTACTTGTTCAGGCCAAAAGCGTTGGCGACGTGAAAATCCAAAATGGCCGCCATTTCGTCAAGATGGCCGCCAGTTGCAAGATAAATTAATGTTTACCTCTTAGAAACTGACACAGTTATCCGATTTAAAACATCCCAGAGTTGATTTATGTTTTCTAGTATGTCCACACTAGTTTTGCAAGGGTTAATACAGTTAAGCATTTTGGTACCTTGAATCTTTGTTGTATTTAAGACTTACGGGCAAACAAGGTCTTTTCCTGGTGTAAATCACCAGTGAACCAGCAATAAATCTTTTATCTGAAAATGCTTTGAGTAAAGTACAAAACAGTAAGAGTTTGAAGCTAGGTACATGATAAAAGATTGAATATTAATGTTATTGGACTACCTTGACTCAGCATGGGGTTCAGTGTTAGCTGATTTATACAATTTATATAGTGTCCCAAAGCGAACTTAACCGCCCCATTTGGTTAGATAGCTGCGGCTGAATTGACAGGATGTGCCGGCACGGGAGAGTCGTGCCAAGGAAGACAGGGCTTCAGTCTTCCTGATGGTGTACAGATCGCACGGGACATGGGTGATACTGGATGACCCATCGGACTAGATGTTGAGTAGTTCTTTGAGCCTAGTTGTTTTCCATATTTAAAAGTGTATTCGGTGAAAAGTGGGAAAAATGATAAACCATCAGTCTCTCATCTTAAACCTTCTAAAGTGGAATCTAAATGGCAAACTGATTGGAGCAAATATTCCCTTTATCAACAGCACAATATTGATGTCTTTCATCGCCATGAATCATGAACAGTATAGAGCAGGATGGTTACAAGACTGCCACAAATGATCCATTCTTACATGCTTTGAATTCTCTACCAATAATTCTTGATCCAGTCGGACCAGATGACGGTGGTGGTATGGAAGACACGTCGAGACAAAAGAGCAAAATATCATGAAAGCTGCAGCTGATGTGTAATACTACCAAGGTGCAAGGGGCAAGGAAAGGGCAATCTTCCAGTAAAATATTAAAATGTGATTCACCTAAACCATCTAAACGCTTCATATGTGAGAAAGTTGTACGAACATCTTTATTGAGAAAAGCTATGACCATGCAACTAAATCACAGACGATATGAATGCGCCACGAATCTCAGTGATGGAAGACTTCTCGCAATACACAGTGGTTGGGATGTTGTGATACAGGATTTAAAGTATCACCCTTGCTCGTCTGGTAGGATTGTCACACAGAGAAAGAGCTTGTCTTCTCGAACTGAGAAACAAAACTAAGCAGAGACGACTTCTTCTAAAGGACAGGCTTCTCGCACAGTTGCCTGAACTAGAAACTGATAGAAATGAACGGAACGTACTTCTTCTCTTCCCAGAAGAATTACACTCCTTTCCTTTGTGATGCTTCAAACAACATTGGAACTATTATTCTTGCAAAAGATGAACATTCTTGTGCCAACATGTGTGTCAAAGTCAGTTTGGATGGGAAGGATGTGTTTAAGAAATCATTCCAATAATCTACTAATTGAAACAGCAGGAATGGTATCAATGGAACCACTGACTCGTTCATGTTAGCTTCAAGTGTTACTAGGACACGCCAAGCTCATAAAAAACTACATGCCGTCACTACAAGCTGGAGGCAATATCCCCCCCCCCCCCCCCCCCCAGTATTTTTAGAAACAAAAACAGTTGTTAAAATCGTGTATTTGTTTTTGTTTTTCAGGACAAGTACCGGCTCTTCCCGAAGAAGTTTTAGATACAAGACTGGTGGGGGTATCTAAAGATCAAATATACAAAGAAAGACTCCAGTATGTAAAGAGTGAATGTCGTAATTCTAAAAACGGTTCAGTGGATAAAGTATTCCGCCATGACAACTTGCATTTAGCCTACTGTCCTGTAGCCAAGGTAGGCAGCACCTTCTGGAAGAGAGTGTTTATCTTCTTGCATAACGACACAGGTACAATTCCTGTGAAGTCTCCCTTCGACATCCCTCGGGTATTCGTGCACTATGGAAAGAAAAACAAAACACAGGTTTCTCCTCTAGATGAATTAACCAAGAAGACAATCTTTGGCAATTACACCCGTTTCATGTTTGCCCGTGATCCTTATTCGCGATTGTGGTCTGCATACCTTGATAAGTTTTTTCTTCCCGACTTCTGGAGAAGTTTTGCACTGCATATAACAAGACAACGACATGACTCAACAATCGAAGCTAGGAAGTGTGGCAGTGATGTGAGTTTCAGCGAGTTCCTTCAGTACGTAGTCTCTCTTGTGCCAGAAAACATGAATGAGCATTGGCAGCCCATTCAGTACAGATGCGACCCGTGCCAGTTTAAGCCAAACATCATCGGAAAGCAAGAGACGTTTGGTGATGATTCCAGGTATATTTTGCAGGGAATCGGAGAGGGGTGGATTATGAATGAGTTTGATCAGAATGCACATGTTGAAGAAGAACTTAGTATGCTAATAGATTATAATTTTCGTTTAATTGCAAAAAGCCGGTTTTATAGGAACTGTACATCAAGAGTAGACATAGCCAGGAGGTTATGGCAAGTGTTCCAACTGAATGGGTACCTACCTATCGAAGAAACCGCCGAGAGCGTTGTAAATAAACTGTCAAAAACCTTTTTTGATAGAGATATGTTTAAGAGGTATGTTTTGAAAGTATATCGTCAAACTCCGGCTGAGGAAAGGAGGGGATGGAAACAACAGAGAAAGGAGGCAATAATCGGGGCATACAAAACCGTTCCTTTGAAACTTATCAAAAGTATTACTAAGTTATTCTCAAACGACTTTGAATTGTTTGGATATGATACTGCACCTCCAGATAAGAGAGACGCATAATCAAATTTACACGTGGTATACATTTATCAAAGTGAAATCCAAGTGTACGTTGCATTCGTTTGCATGTGTAAGATCTGCATCACTTCGAACTTTCCTCCTACAAGCTGAGATGCTGTGACTTGACTGAGATAATTTTCAAAGCAGCGTTAAATCAAACTCAGCTGATCATGCTCGTGTTTGTAATCGGCACTGAGTTGTCTTACCACTTGGCTATAAGGTCATAAATGTTCCTCATGTATCATAAGAGACGACTGAAGTGGTGATCTAGTGTCACAAATACTATAATTGGGATAACCTTTCTTAGTAGAGTACTCATTCTAGTTCTTTTTTGGGGTTGAGTCCAATTCTGAGGGGTACACAAAGTACATGATCTAGACTACATGTTATCAGATTTTTATTTTTGTGGAAGCATCGGTGGCTGAGTGGGTTAGATCGCTGACTTTGTGTGCTGGCGACTAGGTACCTCACCCTGAGAGTGTAGGTTCGAATCCCGGATGGGACTCGACCCAAAAATGTACTCAAATTTGTAATTTTCTAAGAAACTGTAATGCCAAATATAACATGTATTACATTTGACCACTTTCTAAATGGCATGGTGTATTCGTGATATGGTGGTTATATTAGGCCTTGTTGTTGATAGTGGTGCTTATTTGGGAATGTCTTCTAGTCAGGTTGTGAATGAGCTGTCCACAGCATTTAGCAATATTCCATCCATATCACGGGAGGGGGAAACCACAAATTGGCTTCACAGCTGTTTTGGAATAAGACCATCGGCGATTTAACCATCAGGCGAGGCCATGTGTAGAAGCCCAGCGATGAGGTCTACCATCTGTAGGGTCTGTTTCTGGGATGATGACAGTTTGTATTGCCATGACTGACATCTTTTATCACCATCAGGTTAAGAACCATACTGTGCTATGCAAAAGCAACTACCACTCGATCGTCATCAGGGCTTGAACATTTCGTGAGAACGTTTGTTTGTGAACCCTTCGTCAAAAAGGGAGAAGTGTTTGCATAGAATTTGATTGTAAATTTTGAAATAAATATGATTTATGATATGAAACTATTTCCTCTTTTATGTGCTAAACTGCCGGTAATAAAGATACTAAATGATGTTCACCACGACGTAAAACCCGCCCACATTGACCGGGTGGGCTGGCGTATTTCAGATGGGAAAAGGCAGATACTGGTTAAGTTTGTCAGTTATTAAGACAAAAGTGGGCACTGACTAACTCTAGATGTCTGAGAAACACGACAGACTCTGTCTCCATAAACGATGATGTTACTAAACATCGTAGTACAATCTACAAATTGACACGAGATCTACGGCCCAGTCAACAAATCTGCTCATCGTGGACATACGATAGACGAGTTTTCATCACGGAACAACCTGAATGACTCATGAAAGTTATCAACAGTGACTCTGGTCTAAACAAATGCCAGTGACAACTGTTTTCTGAATCTGTCAGTTTGTGTCTGACTTTATCATTACATCAAAAGGATTAATGATACTTTCAGACCAGAAATCTGTGGACATAATTAAGTTGTTTCTTTTGTTTGTTTGTAAATACATGTAAATCATGTGTAAATATGTTTGGACAGTTGTTTGTTTGTCTACATACCATTAACATCTCATGTGTCGGTGGTTACCAATATTGATATTATGCAATATATTTGTATATATCCTTACCCCCACTTCATCTTTCGACCCGTGAAGATCCGGGGTAGAATTGGTGTTTAGCCATGCATGCCGTAAAAGGCGACTCAGCTTGTCGTAAGAGGCGACTAAAGGGATCTGGTGGTCATGCTCGCTAACTTGGTTGATGCATGTCATCGTATCCCAGTTGCGTGGATCGATGCTCATAATGTTAATCACTGGATTGGTTTGTCCAGACTCGATTACATACAGACCACCGTCACATAGCTGGAATATTGCTGAGTGCGGCGTTAAACAAAAAACAGACAATATATATATATATATATATATATATATATATATATATATATATATATATATATATATATACTAACTGAAAGAAGTAACTGTGCTCCTTATAAATTTTACGTGGTGAACATGTAATGTCATTTGAAAATATCAATGAGTTTTCAAGAGGGGTGGTGTAACAACTTAACAAAGTCAACATCGGGTGTGACAACCATTTGCGTTGACACAGGTGAGTCAGCGGCGGTGCATTGACGACACCAGATGATTGAAAACAGCCTGAGGATGTTGTTCCAAAAGATTGGCCCATCTGAGCTCTCGTTACCAACTGGTTCTGGGCCCCCATGATAGGTGTCGATCTATCTCATCCCAGACATGGCAGTTCGGCAATGTTATGCTTTGTCAAAAGGCCCAACACGAGCAACATGTAGGCGGGCATTATCCTGTTGCACTGTGTAGTTGCGTCCCTGCATTTGCACAACGGGAGGAACATGACCTCCAACAATGTCGTCCCGGTAGAGTACGCCATTCGAATTGCAATTAACAATGATGAGTCCTGTTCTTATATGAGTTGTGATGCCACCCACAAACTGAGTAACGTAAGCGACGCTAAAACATTCTTGACGCCTGTAGACCCTTGCACGACCATCAGAGCTGTCGAGATGGAACCTGGATTCATCCATGAACTGTCTACTATCCAGTCTTGTCTTCACTCTCTCACTCTGAACTTCAGAAGACCTTTACACTAATGTGGGCGTGCCTTGTGGTGACGTGGAAGTAAAACTGGGCGTGTCGATGGACGCCTGGGCCGCATGTTGTGCTCCTCCAGCCGGTTGTGCTCGGTTTTGCCACTAATTGTTCTCAACCCAATAATCGACCTCTTTGTTTATGTGGCAGTTTGTTTTATGTAACCTCTCAAACGTACTCTCCAGGAAATCATCTAAATTATCCTTCATTGTATACAAATTATTGTTTAATAATGAACTATTAGGAGATTGTATACATATGAATTACACACATACACACACACACACACACACACACACACACACACACACACACACACACACACACACACACACACACACACACATATATATATATATATATATAAACTCTTTAAAAAATGAAACGCACAGGTAGTATGTAGTTCATTGAACCTGACTACACACAAAAAAATCCGGTATATTAATTGGATATATGTTATTGGAAAATGTTGGTGGTCTGATATTCGACAAACGGAGAGTCACAACGCAGCCACTGTCGATTTGCAATGTCTTAAACGGCACTGTTTTCACACTTTATGGTAACTTGTAGTAGTGGCTATAAAAAGGCAAGCATAAGTCAATAATTTATCATTCAATGGTCAACATTTTTCAAGTTCGAAAGTGCCGAGACTCAGCGCTGCCGATCGGAACATCGCCATAGGACGTATTCTACCGCACACAGCTTGTGTCACGGTAGACTACCTAATAATGCCAACACCAACGCCTTGCCCATGGCCGTCGAGATCTTCTCCAGATCTTAACCCAATCGAATACCTCTGGGATGAACTCGATCGACGTGTACAACGTCAGAACACACCACAGACACTCCCACAACTGGCCAACGCGTTACAAGCAGAATGGCGCAGAATTCCGCAGGAGAGAATTCGTACACTTATCCAGTCAGTGCCGAGGAGATGCAGAGTCGTGAGTGCTGCACGGGGCGGTCACACGAGATATTGAGTTGGGCGTAACCTTGTGGCCTTATGTGACATGACAATGAACAGTTTCCAATCCCTTTGTACAACGACAACATGTGACTATCGAGCTCCACAATTTCAGATTTGTATCTATGATATTAAATTAAAATATTGACTTTATGAGGTACAATAAAACATCTTCCTGTGCGTTTCCTTTTTTGAAGTGTGTATATTGCTTTAACCGAAAGAAATTGCCCACTTTGTAAACTATCAACTGGTGAGGAATTCTATTATTTGTTAATTTGTCCATCTTTAGAAAACGAAAGTAAATCCTTCTACACAGATTTTACTGTATTGAACATTATGGATAACATGAATTTACTTTTCAATAATCCACGATTAGGAACATTGAGAAAATCGTCCAAATTTTGATAAAATCATCGTATCATTGTTTAAATCAAATAACTCTCTCCTTATTGAATTGCCCATATATTGTAACCTGAGTGAATCAGTATATATATACATGACATGACGTCACATGTAGACATGGCATGTCATAAGTGTTGCCCTGCTGCAGATAACGTCTCCAAAAAAATTATATTGTGTTTCGTTGACAAGTCTGGCAACTTCGCTTTGGGCAATTCCTGTTTGCAGAATACCAACGGCGCATTAACGTTGATTGTCAGCAATCCGTGGCATTTATTTACGGTTAAACACGTTTTGTATGAACACCTGAAAGCAAGCAATCAGTATGTGTTGTTCACATTCACAAACCACGTTTAAGATATCATGCTCCCAACAAACACCCAAAGACTTTACTGGCCATCATTTACCAGACTCTACTGGTCACAAACACATAGCTGAATTTTCGCCTGCTATCACAAATGCCGTCGAAATCCTTTTTGGACATTTTATGCACCCCAAACCTCCCATTTCTTATTTCTTTTGGATATATTGTTGAGAGCTTAGCCCTGGTTGGCACCTGTTTTATGCTTCTTTATTGTGAACTTGTCATCTTTTTGGACAGCCTCTGATAGGTAAATCGAGTTATTTTAAGCTACTGATTAGTTTAGTATGTAAGAACAAGAATGTTTCTTTTTAGTTTTTCTCCATATTCCTAACATAATATTTATTGTCATGCCTATTTGTGGCTGTGATGCTCTGTTTGTGACGTGAAACGCCTTTGGTAGTGAAACGTAGACTGCCTGCAAATTGCATTGTGTCTGAATTCATTCAAAGAGAGTGAGTGAGTGAATACGGTTTTACGCCGCTTTTAGCAATATTCCAGCAGGGGGACACCGGAAATTGGCTTCACACATTGTACCCATGTCGGGAATAGAACATGGGTCATCGGCGTGACGACCGACCGCTTTAACCACTAGGCTACCCGACTGCCCCTCAAAGGAAGTGAAGCATCCTATGACCACAAACCTTGTACATATTGATGAATTTGTGTCATTTGTGTCTAAACATATGTTTTGTTATATTCTTTGTCAAACACAGTAAGTGTTTTGTTCCACGAGTGAACCCTGACCGAACTTATATACACACATTTGGTTGATACTTCGGAAAGCTTATCTGTTAAATCTATAAACAGCTGTCGAGTTTATTGTCTAGAAACCAGTATCGTTCTCCGAATGTTACCTCGTTCTTATTGAGCCATATGGTTGATTAATGAACTGGATCAGTTCACATTGGAAATGTATAGAAATTGCTTTTGACTCACTGTTTACATTCCTTTAGATGTGAATATACTTCTCTTTACGCACACTTTGCAGGTTGTCCGCACTTGGATGGGATTCAGGATGAAGGTGCTGAAAGTCCATGTCAGTCAGGAAGCTGGCTTTGTGCAGTGGTAGACTGAATACTGTTAGAACCATTCTTGATGTAGATTATGTTGGTACACGTTGGCAAGAGATTACCAGTCGGGAGTAATTATGAAAGCTTGTTCAATTAAAAGGTGAAGAGAATGAAACGGTTTTTGATTTAATGTAAAATCGAGATTTGATGTATCGTGTACATTATTGTCCTCATTCAAACGGAGTTTTGCAGGGAATATAGAAACGGACCCCGTAATTCCGTCCAGGCAAACAAGTCGGTCATCGGTTGAGGTGAAGGTTGGGTTTTGTTTCAGTTCTGTGACTCTTTAACTTTACACTATTTCTTTGGATTCCCATCAGGCAAAGCTCTGCTTCCTGCAGGCAAAGTTTTTATGAATATGGAAAGGATCTTGTCGCTTTTATTTCCATGGATTTGGGTTCAAGTCAGGGTTTCATTATGCGGAACAAACCCCAAAATCATTCAATATCTCATGATGAGACGTTTGTTTCTTTAAACATATTTTTATTTTAATTCAGTAGACATATATCTGTAACATTGGTACATGAGGTATACAAGTGTAGCACGTCATAGGATCTTAAAACATTATCAAGATATGGGTACTATACATGTATTTGATTGACTCATATATTATAATAAGTAGGCTGATAATATTTATTAATTGTTTCCATTCTCTGTCAAACTTATTCATGCTACTATTTTTCATTGTAATAGTTTTTTAAATATTTTACACACATCTTGCAATATTTTTATGAAGAAAGGAAAGTATAATGGAGTTTTCTTTTTTCTTTACTGGTGAATGTATTTTTTTGCAAGAAGAATTATATGTTTGAAAAGAGAGTTCTCTTAACTTCATTCCATTTTGGTAAATAAAGCTCTATTTATGAATCTGTACTGGAAATCTATTAGTTTAACATCATTGGTACGCATTTTACAGTTTGTAAAATCATTATTGCGTAATATGCTTTGATTAAGTTCATTTCCCCATTTATTACTTGCCCGTGAAGAGATCACCCGTTTAATAAACATGCAGCTGTTATTCCAAGACGCATGCTTAAGTACTCTCGGAACACGTTTCACGAACAAATATTGAAAGCTCTCAACATCCCTTGGCTTATTCAACGACATTGCGTGTGGAGATGATAGATCACTGAGAGGAGCTTATGCAGCTGGGCTGACGTCACATTGCATTGTTTCGCCGATGGATCTTGCAAAGAAATTCCACAAATTACGTCATCGGGTATTGTGACGTGATTGAAAACTTTGAGATGCAAGGCCCCGTTCCACAAGGCGATCGTATTGTAGCGCAACGACAGTCGTTAGTCTAAGTTAAAGTATCGAGTTGCGATAACCTTAGCGCTACGATAAGTTTGTGGAACGGTTGCCTGAATTCTAAAGGTGGACCGTTGTATGGTATTAAATTCATAAATTTCAACTTTTGACGTGTTTGAAGTATTATTCTCATAAAACTCAATTGAATTATGCCGTGGATCGTGTAGGTGTCAGCCTATTCACACTCAACAGTATCATTCTAAAAACGTTATAAATGGCAAATAATATATAAAATACTACCTCGCTCCCGTGTAAAACCAATTTTATGAAACTCGTGAATAGTTGTGGTATCTGACTCGTTTTCACTCGTCAGACACTAGAATTATTCACTAGTTTCATAAAATTTGGTTTTACACGGGAGATCGTTTAGTATTCTATATTTATCACACATCAGAGGAAAGTTAGTTGTAGCTATGAGTTTATCATAAACTTCTCTTGAGCCCTTTGTTCTTATAAATCTCAAAATGTTATTTATGTATAAATTAGCCGTGATACAAGCTCTGCCATTTATTGCTTTTTTCCATGATTTACTGATATATAGCATGAGCGTGTTGTAATCAAGTATTGTGCCTTTAATTCTAAATTTGCCTTGCATTTCTTGATGAAACTTTGCAAGAAGGTCCGAAAACATACATCATATTTATAACCCTGTTGAAATTCTGAGTGAAATAGGTATCCACCAACCTATGCTTGTGTTGACAAGTGACTAATTGAATAGGGTGGTCTGACATGGTGTCTTGGTTGATTGTGTGACATTGTACCAGCGGTGGACGTTGTTCATAATGTAGTGTTAATAAAAACAAGCAACATACGTCAATCAGGAAATGGTTAGTGCTTTTTCTATTTTGTTTTATATATATTTTTTTATTTTAGAGCTTTGAAAATGTTATATGTAACGTTGCCACCAAATAGAAAAATCCGTGTACTGAAAAGTGATATTACTAAATCACATCATTGGAAGGATATAGATAAATAAAGATAAGTGACAAAACACTTTCTATTGTCATATGAAAACTCTAAATTGTATGATTCCGACTATATCATTAGCACGCTTTTATAAATCGCTATCAAACACTGATGACGTATTTGCAAAAAGGTGAGCGTATCCTGACCAATCGGTGGCACCCGTCACAAACACATGCAAACGCCCTTTGCGGTTTGATGCACATATGCAAAGGGGCGGGGGATTTGATGATTTTGTCCTCTTGTTACAACTGCATTTGATCCTCACATCTACTACATTGTCTTCTTTACGTTCGCTCGACAGAAGAATATCAGACAATTGCTTCTTTCTAAAACCACTGAAATCTGTCTATCCACAATATATGTCGTGCTTTATTAACTTCAAAATTGGGTTCAACTGTTAAGGTCACAGAATTAATAATTCTGATCAATAATGTGTTATTGCAACGGGTTGTCGTGTGTATATTAATCGCATAGCATTGCTACGTGGACATTACATCCAACCAAGCTGTCCACACTACCCTTGAGTGTCTACACACTCCATACGGCTCGTCCTCGAATGACCTGGGTGTTCAAAAGTACACTGTCAACTTGATATATAATCGGAAATAGACAAGTGGTCGCTGGCATTGTGGAATGAAGAGACCAGACTAGCGGAATAGAGGTACGGATTTGTTTCAGATACTTTGTACACGCACTCATTTCCCTTTTTGTAGAATTTAAAAAAAAAAAAATTCTAGAAAATCCTTACATACACTGTCAAATATTTTTGGCACATACGATAGGAAATTACTTGACAAATAGGAAACCTTTATTTATTCTTCAACCTATGTTTTAATGGTTGAACAAGACAAACATTTAACAATGATCTTTGTTCAGGACATTACTATAATACCGTCAATTAACATAGTATTTTGTGTAACGTTAATAATTGTATTATTATTACATCAACAATTTAGGATATGCGTGAAAATATAATTACAATAGTTCTATTAACTCCATAAGTGTCGATTCCCGATTGAAACAATTAGTTAACCCAGATATCTGTACGTAAAAGAATTTAGCGTGAAACCAACAAACAACCAACAAATGGTAGAAAATCAACGAGCGTATTACAAAATTAACTACGTTTACAAATCAATACAAATTATTTCACAGCAATTACAATGACAGGGAACAATAAAATGGTAGCACAATACTCAGTGACAGTATCAAATACAAAATATGATGATACTAATATTCACCTATCCGTAGCAGTGGTCAAGCTTCCGAGATAGGCCAAGGCTGGGAATCCGGGCTGATAAATGATCTTCACACGAAAGCTGGTCTTGATGTAATGTCAGATGAAATGTGAGATGAAACGAGAGAGAGACAGGGACGCCTTCAGCACTTTCCACACATTGCGAGACCAGTCCAGTGTCACAAGGACATCATAGAATATTCTACATGTTTCTATAACGCTTGACATCCATACATGCTATTCCGGAAGTTTACATATAATTTGAGCATTTAACTTCCTCACCACTGCTTACATTAAATAGTACTACATTCCTGACAACTAATCATTGTCAAAATTCAATGCAATGACCTTCTACTGAATCTCAACATAAACAATATAATACAGTTACAATCACTGTATAACAATGAATTACACTGCAAATTTAACTATTATGTCGTAATTAAAACCGCAACCTGTATTAAGGAAGTGCATTTTTTTCAGCATGAGGTACTATGTGATCCCTCTGGTGCTTGTCCTGGTGGTGGCTGGACTGAACCTCACAGCCGTATTCCATCATGTTCATCAAACCAGTAAGTGTGAGTGAATGTTTGTTGAAGCTGCCAGCGATAGTCCAACTACAGCAATAAAAGCGACAAAACCCTTTCCACAGTCAGGCAAAAGAAATGTCTGCCAAAAGCAGAGTCGATTCTACGATTCTGACTATATCAAGAGCATGTGGTTATGAATCACTATCAAATAGTAATGATACCATATGTTCGTGAAAAGGTGGGTGTGTACAAGTGATCCACAAGTGACAACATTAACATACACATACAGCAGATCTAACATGATAATTAAGGCATCTGATTGGGCTAATTTGTCAGTTGTTGGTATCAAAGATACTTTACGTGAATTTCTACATAATATCAGAGAAGATTATATACAATATTTACCAATAATATAACATAACATAAATTCTTTTGTATCTTGTTTTGTATTCTTAGGTACAGATCATTTGATATTCTGAGAAGTGAGCCGAAATGTATATTAAGCCTTGATATTCATTCAGCTACAGCTGCAACATTAGATACCCCCCATCTTGAAACAAAGCATTTTGTATGGGAGGCAATTCCCCTTTTGTCTGAAGCATAATTATTTTTCAAGCATTTTCTGGAACAATTTATTTTCTTCGATAAAGACCCAAGGATTCTGTAGTTTGGAGACTGGTCCGTTAACATCAAATATGCAAAGAAAATCCCCAGTCTTTAAAGAGTTAAATGTAAATTTCTTTCAAAGAGACAAAGGAAAGTTTTGTTCTTACTTTGTGTAGTCCCAATGGCTCTTGAAGAGGCAACACATTATTTATAAAATCGAATATTTGTTTTTGTTTTTTAGGACAACAACCAGCTCCTCCCAAAGATTCTCCAGATTCAAGACGGGTCAGAGTATCTAAAGATCAAATATACAAAGAAAGACGCGAGCATGTAAAGCGTGAATGTCGTAATTCTAGCGAAGGTTTCGTTGGGAACATATTCCGCCATGACAACTTGCATTTAGCCTACTGTCCTGTAGCCAAGGTAGGCAGCACCTTCTGGAAGAGAGTGTTCCTCTTCTTGCATAACGACACAGGTATAATTCCTGTGAAGTCTCCCTTCGACATCCCTCGCGCATTCGTGCACTATGGAAAGAAAAACAAAACACAGGTTTCTCCTCTGGATGAATTTACCAAGAAGACCATCTTTGGCAATTACACCCGTTTCATGTTTGGCCGTGATCCTTATTCGAGATTGTGGTCTGCATACCTTGATAAGTTTTTTCTTCCCGACTTCTGGAGAAGTTTTGCACTGCATATAACAAGACAACGACATGACTCAACAATCGAAGCTAGGAAGTGTGGCAGTGATGTGAGTTTCAGCGAGTTCCTTCAGTACGTAGTCTCTCTTCCGCCAGAAAACATGAATGAGCATTGGCAGCCTATTCAGTACAGATGCGACCCGTGTCGGTTTAAGCCAAACATCATCGGAAAGCAAGAGACGTTTGGCGATGATTCCAGGTATATTTTGCAGGGAATCGGAGAGGAGTGGATTATGAATGAGTTTGATCAGAATGCACAAGTTGAAGAAGAACTTAGTATGCTAATAGATTATAATTTTCTTATATGTGCAAAACTCCGGTTTTATTGGAACTGTACATCAAGCGTAGACATAGCCAGGAGGTTATGGAAAGTGTTTCAACTGAATGGCTACCTCCCTATCGAAGAAACCGCCGAGAGCATTTTAACCAGAATGTCCCAAAACTTTTTTAATGGAGATATGTTTAAGGCGTATGTTTTGAAAGTATATCGTCAAACTCCGGCTGAGGAAAGGAGGGCATGGAAACAACAGAGAAAGGAGGCAATAATCGGGGCGTACAAAACCGTTCCTTTGAAACTTATCAAAAGTATTACTAAGTTATTCTCAAACGACTTTGAATTGTTTGGATATGATACTGCACCTCCAGATAAGAGAGACGCATAATCAAATTTACATATAATACATACTTGACGCCTCCTCTCCGTCGCCGCTATGTGAGTGGAAGCCTCTTCTACGCAGGTGGACGTATCATCAGGGGGTGGACGTCTCCGCTGTGTGAGTGGAAGCCTCATCTACGTAGGAGGACGTATCATCAGAGAGTGGACGTCTCCGCTATGTGAGTGGAAGCCTCTTCTACGCAGGTGGACGTATCATCAGAGAGTGGACGTCTCCGCTATGTGAGTGGAAGCCTCTTCTACGTAGGTGGACGTATCATCAGAGAGTGGACGTCTCCGCTATGTGAGTGGAAGCCTCTTCTACGTAGGAGGACGTATCATCAGAGAGTGGACGTCTCCGCTATGTGAGTGGAAGCCTCTTCTACGCAGGTGGACGTATCATCAGAGAGTGGACGTCTCCGCTATGTGAGTGGAAGCCTCTTCTACGTAGGAGGACGTATCATCAGAGAGTGGACGTCTCCGCTATGTGAGTGGAAGCCTCTTCTACGCAGGTGGACGTATCATCAGAGAGTGGACGTCTCCGCTATGTGAGTGGAAGCCTCTTCTACGTAGGAGGACGTATCATCAGAGAGTGGACGTCTCCGCTATGTGAGTGGAAGCCTCTTCTACGTAGGAGGACGTATGATCAGAGAGTGGACGTCTCCGCTGTGTGAGTGGAAGCCTCTTCTCCGTAGGAGGACGTATTATCAGAGAGTGGACGTCTCTGCTATGTGAGTTGAAGCCTCTTCTACGTAGGAGGACGTATCATCAGAGAGTGGACGTCTCCGCTATGTGAGTGGAAGCCTCTTTACGTAGGAGGACGTATTATCAGAGAATGGACGTCTCCGCTATGTGAGTGGAAGCCTCTTCTACGTAGGAGGACGTATTATCAGAGAGTGGACGTCTCCGCTATGTGAGTGGAAGCCTCTTCTACGTAGGAGGACGTATTATCAGAGAGAGGACGTCTCCGCTATGTGAGTGGAAGCCTCTTCTACGTAGGAGGACGTATCATCAGAGAGTGGACGTCTCCGCTATGTGAGTGGAAGCCTCTTCTACGTAGGAGGACGTATCATCAGAGAGTGGACGTCTCCGCTATGTGAGTGGAAGCCTCTTCTACGTAGGAGGACGTATCATCAGAGAATGGACGTCTCCGCTATGTGAGTGGAAGCCTCTTCTACGCAGATGGACGTATCATCAGAGTGTGGACGTCTCCGCTATGTGAGTGGAAGCCTCTTCTACGCAGATGGACGTATTATCAGAGTGTGGACGTCTCCGCTATGTGAGTGGAAGCCTCTTCTACGTAGGAGGACGTATTATCAGAGTGTGGACGTCTCCGCTATGTGAGTGGAAGCCTCTTCTACGTAGGAGGACGTATTATCAGAGAGTGGACGTCTCCGCTATGTGAGTGGAAGCCTCTTCTACGTAGGAGGACGTATCATCAGAGAGCGGACGTCTCCGCTATGTGAGTGGAAGCCTCTTCTACGTAGGAGGACGTATTATCAGAGAGAGGACGTCTCCGCTATGTGAGTGGAAGCCTCTTCTACGTAGGAGGACGTATCATCAGAGAGTGGACGTCTCCGCTATGCGAGTGGAAGCCTCTTCTACGTAGGAGGACGTATCATCAGAGAGTGGACGTCTCCGCTATGTGAGTGGACCCTCTTCTACGTAGGAGGACGTATTATCAGAGAGAGGACGTCTCCGCTATGTGAGTGGAAGCCTCTTCTACGTAGGAGGACGTATCATCAAAGAGTGGACGTCTCCGCTATGTGAGTGGAAGCCTCTTCTACGTAGGAGGACGTATCATCAGAGTGTGGACGTCTCCGCTATGTGAGTGGAAGCCTCTTCTACGTAGGAGGACGTATCATCAGATAGTGAACGTCTACGCTATGTGAGTGGAAGCCTCTTCTACGTTCAATGTAGGAGGACGTATCATCAGAGAGTGGACGTCTCCGCTATGTGAGTGGAAGCCACTCATACGTAGGTGGACGTATCATCAGAGAGTGGATGTCTCCGCTATGTGAGTGGAAGCCTCTTCTACGTAGGAGGACGTATCATCAGAGAGTGGACGTCTCCGCTATGTGAGTGGACCCTCTTCTACGTAGGAGGACGTATCATCAGAGAGAGGACGTCTCCGCTATGTGAGTGGAAGCCTCTTCTACGTAGGAGGACGTATCATCAGAGAGAGGACGTCTTCTCTGTACAGGTAAACTTCTCCATGTCTGGTTCACGCCACAATGTTCCTGGACATCTCCCACCATGAGACTGGACACGCCCACCGTGTTACTGGACACGCCCACCATGAGACTGGACACGCCCACCGTGTGACTGGACACACCCACCGTGTGACTGGACCTCCGTATCATCACAGCCAGCATGTACGCCTAGGGTAGGCAGGTGAAACAACTGGTCAAGACTTTTGGCAGCTGGGTAGAACATGACTCAACATGGGTCCAAATTTTACTAGTATTATACAGAGGTTATCACGCTAGTGTGTTTCGGATGGCAGGTGCCATGTGTTATGAATAAACGTTGTATTAAGCGAGCCTTGGTGAGCTAAATACCAGGGCTCCAGATAATCTTTCAGCATCGGGAGTATGTACTCATTTCAATATAGGAGCAAAGACAAAACTAAAGCGTACACTTAGAGTACTGAATGGGATTTAATGGATTAATCTGTGAATTATTTTTAGATATGCACCACAGCATTGCTACTCTCGTGCAAACAGGTCAATAAACAATTAATAATACCTTTTTATTTATACAGATATGTCTATTGTATAATGAGTACCTGCCTGTAGGGTATTCAGTATTTTGGGGGGACAATAATCGAGTTTTATGAGCAGAATGTTTTACATCGTATTCCTTCAGCAAAGTCAGGTAAACGAACAGGTGATAAACTTGGTCAATACAAATTTGAAATTTGAGATAAAACATGACTAGACATGATGATTTATCGTTTAAATTGTATTTCAAAGTTCTACTAGGCAATGTTTTATATGCAGAGATTAAGATTACCGTGGGTATTTTCTCGAAAACTAAGCCTGAAACAGCAATCAGCTGTACAAACGTTTTCTCACAATGTTTTGATTGACTTTTGATGATGCAATGATCGGAAGAATTGTAAGTGAAACTATTATTTTATCATGAATAATATATTCTAACATGGTGTTAGTTTAGTTGCAGCTTTAATATACATATCTAAAATAATTATAACCAAAAAAGCACAAACTTTGGTACAGCTGATCGCCTCAAAGGTCGGACAATGGCAACAGGCAATATATACTAACGAAAAAAAGTAACTGTGCTTCATACAAAGTTGTGTAAATGTTATGTTATTAAAAAATAAATTATTGTTGGTCTTCCATTCGATTATTGCTTTATCATAACCAATTCATTGACATACCTGGCAACAGCAGACAGGGCGACACGCCCTAAAAGCGGTGTAACAGTAACAATGTGAATGTCAGGCGTGACCACCATTTGCATTGATACAGTCGAGGCAGCTGCGACGCATTAAAGACACCAGATGTTTTGAAATAAGCATGTTGTTCCAAAAGTCAACCATAGATTGTACCAGCTGATCTTGCGTTACCGGCTATTTCTGATCCTGTCGTAGGCTTCGTTCCATTGCATCGCAGACATGTCCTATGTAGGAGAGTTTTGGAGAAGGGTCGGTCATGTGATGCTGCCTCCACAAATCTGTTACGTTACAACACGTGCAACATGCAGGCGCCCATTTTCCTGCTGAAACGTGACGTTATGTCCCTGCATTTGCCCAAAGAGTGCGCCCATGAGATTACCACATAAGAATGATGAGTTGTGTTCTCCCACGAGTTGTGATGCCACCCCATACAATTACACTTCCACTCCCAAACTGACGACGTTGAGTAAGGCAACCGCCGCTAAAACGTCTCGGGTGACCGTATACTGTTTCACGATCACCAGAGCTGACCAGATGAAACTGTGTCGGAACAGTATACTGTCCGAATCTTGTCTTCTGAACTTCAGATGCTCTCTACACCAAGCTAGGCGTGCTTAGCGGTGTAAGCAAAACTTGGTGTATCGCTGCACGTTTGAGTCGGGTGGTGTGCTCCCTCAGCTGGTTGCATACAGTTCTTCCCCTTATTGGTCTCAATCCAAGAATGGTCCGATTTGTCAATGTGGCAGTCAGGTATAGATTTCGTTGATGCATCTGCCGAATATAGTGGGTTTGTTGACGCGACATCACACGTGGACGACCGGCTGTATGTAGATAACGTCCAGTAGGAGCTGATATTGTGTCTCGATGGTCATTAAAATGTGTGGCAACTTCGTTTAGCGCCATTCCTCCTTTCAACATAGACGTTGTTTTTCAGGAAGTCGTGTCATTGTGAAAGCGATATTTACGGTTAATCGAAAGTGTTTTATGAGAACCTGAAAGCTGACAATCATTGTATTCACATAAAAAAAACCACTGATCCCAACAAACACGTAAACTTCCAAATTATGCGCCGTGCATGAACATACGCGTACCTTAAAGTCGAGGAGATATCTTCATGAATATGTACTGAATGTCATGAGTGTTGCCCTCTTGTAGATAATGTATCCAAAGAGATGGTAGTGTGCTTCGATGAACAATAAAATGTCTGGCAACTTTGTTTTGGGCCATTTTCGTTAGGGTACCTGCGGCGCATAGACATTGATTTTCAGAAAGCTGTGAAATAAAATGGTTTTGTACCTCTTAGTGGCCTTGGTGTAAAATAGAAGTTCAGTTCAGGTGTCGATTCCGTAGTTGCCCCAACCAAATATGGTTGGTTTGTTCTGTTCCCTTGCTGTAAATAATGTCTTCAAAGAGATGATGTTGTGTTTCAATCAATATTAGAATGTGTGGCAACTTCGTTTTGCGTCATTCCTGTTTGGAGAATACCCATGGCGCGCGCGTAGATGGCAAGCCGTGGCATTGTGTAGGCATTATTTACTTTTAAACAAAAGTGATTTTATGAGCATTATGAATCATTGTGTGCTTGTCACATTAAACAGACACGTGTGTGAGTATCATGCTGAACAAACTCGCATGCATTATTTAATTCCAGAATAAATACATTGTTTTAACTTTATATGATTCAAAGTTACTTTTTCCCGCTACTAGTTCCAAATGAAACTTGTTTCTATTTAGGGGCGTACTTACCATGTTGGGGAAAAGACAATGTCAATGATCGTGTAACGCGGCAATCTGTCAGACCGCCGGCTGGAGTGGTTGTCCTTTATCAAAGGGAAGCTACTCTAATCTATAAGGCATCCTCGCTGGTTCCCGTGATCACTCGTCCCGATGTCTAATCGGGCTAGCGCCGGAACCCAGCGAATGATGCATCACGTTTGTTTAGTGTCTGCCTGGCCACTTCATTGTCCTTTCGTCACGAAATGTAGTCTCAAACACCGACACAGTGACACAGTGACACACAGCAAGGTTTACAGGATACCTTCAGCCATTTTAAACTCACTTTGATAAAGGATGTGCGCGGACTACTTCCCCAAAAACGGTTTCTGAGCTTTTGAGCCTCCTACTATATAAAATATGTTGTTAAAATAAACTGAAAAAAACACAACAAAGTTGCAGAGGCCTACAAGCACAGTTATGGGAACAGATACCCTGACCGTTCTCGCTCAATGAGTTCGCAATTTATATATACTCTGCAAAATAAACCCGCATAAGTAGTAAAGTCGTAGTGTTGCGTATTGCCACACTAAAATAGTACCAAAATGAATTGGTCATTCCCGCAAGTTTTATGCCTCGCCGGGCGGATGAAAGATGTCGTGTTTACAAGGGTCTCGGGGAACGTTATACCCGAAACCGCGTACAGGAAGTGGACATACATGTACTTGGTGGTGGTAGCGTGATGATTTGGGCGGAAATCTCATACACTGGTAGGACATATTTAGTGCAAGTTACAGGGAACCTAACGGCACAACGTTATACGGATGTGATTCTTCGGCCATTCGGCCTTCCGATTATGCAAAAAGCAAATTTGCTGAAGACCTATTCTCTACACGGATCTTCACGGGATCGAGACGGTGTGTGTGCATTTACATTAATAAAATGACTTGAGTAATCCATGCAGGAACGTTTACCTACGACATTAGGGGCTCCATCGACTTGCTTTAAATATCATAAAAGGACCCAAATGGTGGAAATATGCATGGATGCTGTTTATGAAGGAACTGAATAAACAAACAGTTGTGCTAAGTGAAAAGCTGTCATGAATGTTGGTGTTATTAGGGGAAGAAGACTATGCTTGTCGTAAGCTTGTCGGGATCCGGTTGTCAGGCATGCATGTCATCGCATCCGAACTGCGTAGATCGATGCCCATGATGTCAATCACTGGATTTTCTGGGGTAGACTCGAATATTTACAGTCGAATTCATATGGCTGGAAAGGTGTTGAGTGCGGCGTTAAAGAACAACCAACCAAACAAAACATCAAACACTCGGTTCGTTTTGTAAAGACCTGGCGGGGATAGTGCCTCGCTGCTTTGTTAAAATATGAAACTTTCACTCGATCAACAGCTTGAACTCTGACCCTGGCCTTTCACAGTGGAAATTAGCTGTTCTGGATGAAGTGTGTTCCGGTAAAAAGTATCCCGAAAGTTTATTACTTTCTATAACGTTTGTTTAGTTAGAATTTAGCCTCGTGTTGTAAATATCGAAACAAGGGAATTTGGCCAAGATGTTTACCTTGCTTAAGCTTCAGATACATCGCTGATGTGATATCGATCAATAATAGTGAAATCACCCTTCGACTGATTTACCCACATGAGCTAGAAATAAAGTAGACCAGTGAATCCAACCACAAGACTGTATGACAAGAGGGACTTCAACTTTCCAATTGTCAACTTTCCCTGCATGTCGACGAATATTCCAGTAGCTTCTGTCTTTGATGCCTACATTTCACAACTTTTGAGGTGCAATCGAGCATGCACTTTCTACGAAGATTTCAAAGAATGTTTTACTACTCTTGCTCAAAAGTCGTTTGATGAAGGCTGCAACAATCAAGGCGTAATGCTCTCAAAAAGATGCATGGTTGACACTTCCAAATTTGACGCATCAGTGACAAAGATTATATCTGATGTAAAATCCCTATTTTGACTTGTATCACATGTTCCCGTGTCCTTTATAGATAAAGAATTGACTTGTCCTTGCATGTGTTTGTGACGGGTGCCACCGATGGGACACGAGGATGAGCTCTCCTTTTCGCGAATACCTGGTATCTTCACTAATTGCTGGAGAGTCATAAACACACGCTTCTGTTATAGTCTGAATTGTAGAATCGACTCGGGGGAGATTGCTTAGTATTAAGGAAAGAGTTTGTCACTTTAATTTCAGTGCAGTGAAAATATCACCCATAGTCGTTTTGTACGGTGAATATACCACATTGTTATCATAGTCTTATGTCTGCTGCACATTGAATTTTATTTAAAAGGACCTGTATCAGTACTTTAATAAATCGTATTATACGCCCTGAGAACCAAAGATAAATGCTTTTAGCAATTTTTAAGTAATTAATTTATTAGCGACAAAAAACTTTTATACGAGCCGATTGTACAACTACATCATGAGCGTGTGTTTATGAATCACTATCACACAGTGAAATGATACCAGGTGTTCGCGAAAAGGTGAGCGCATCCTGCCCCACCCGTTGCACCCATCACTAAAACTCGCCAAGCAGTGTAATCTTTCCCCTGAAAGCATATGATACAAGTCCAAAGTGGGAATTGCATCGGACATCATTATTATCGCTGATGCGTCAAATACTAGTATGGATATGTCCTCCACCGTAAAACCTTCTGAAAGCTTAACTGAGGCCTTGAAAGTTGTAATCGTGAGTGTCGCATGACACTCTTTGAAAACGTGCTTGGTATATCCTCGGGTGTGACCCCCACATGATTTTGCAAATTGTGCACATGTGAGCGAGGGAGTGAGTATGGTTTTTCGCCGCTTTTAGCAATATTCCAGCAATATCACGGCGGGGGACACCAGAAATGGGCTTCACACTTTGTACACATGTGGGGAATCGAACTCCCACATTGTGGTGGTTACTGCTGATGACATTAATGAGGAACAACAATGCTAAGAATATGTGTTATCTGCAAATTTTATTCTCATCTCTCTGTGTGAAGGTGTCGTGTAGAGACTTATGAGATGACCTTCTCGCAAATAAACTTGTTGTATGCGTCACAGTTGACGTCATCCAAACAGAGGCCGGCTCCATTCCACAAGCTGCCACAGCCATGTCCCCAGTTGTTGGGTTCCCCACTACACCACGAATAGTAATCGAAATTACTCGAACCATCCACCCACTTGTAATTCTGACTTTCAAATCCAAAGAAGCCAATCAAATAGTCATTCGTGAAGTCCCCTGAAAATATAAACAATTGAAAAAGTACCAGAGATGCCCTCGATTGTGTTTTTTTATGTAAATTATGTTTTATGTATGTAGTCGTTCGTCCAACAATTGTACTTATTTTGATGCTACTAAGGACCCAGTGTCGTCACCTCAGAAGTCAAATGAGTATGTTATCTTCTGTCCTTAAAAACAACAACATCAGTTGAAGATAGTATGGTACCCTAGGCCTTAAAGTCCCTCCTGTTTACATAAGGTTGTCTCGTGTTCCGTTAAAACCAATATAAGCAGAACACGGAAAATAAGAATGTTTCATCTCAACATCTACACGATTAGACAAGAACATATTCTAATGTGACAGACTGGTTTACTGCTTCTAGCAGACCTTGGCCCAGAGGAGATTTTGTCTAATCCTGTGGTAACTATTTGGTGGTGGTGTACTTACATAACTGATAGTTGATGTAGCTGACCAGGTCGGATTTTTTGGCATACGTGTCGACAACGTAGAGACGATAGTTTGAGCCGAAGGACTCGCACCACTCCTTTGCATCAATCCAGTAAGCTTTGACCCAATATGCCGAGTAAATGCAAGTGCTGGGACCACTTCTATACGACCATGGATAATCACAGCTGGTGTCTGAAAATTACAAACATCTTTATTGTACACCTTTAACATGAAGTGTGATTTAAGTTAAAACATTGTTTCGCAACAACATAATGTCTTCTAATCTGTTTTGTACCTTTCCCTGCGTATCTCTTACATGTAGGATTATGAATTGGGCCAGTTTTAAAGTTTCAAAGTGTAAAAGATAAAATGTAGTTTCGTGTAAGATGTAGGGAGATTAATTAGTGGGCCGAAAAGTTTGATGAAACGGCAAAGACGCGTTTGGAAGAGAAGTCAGAAGTGAGTGATGGTTCAGCCGGATTGGTACTGTTCCCAGAAGTAAGACATAGTTCAGACGTCGTGGTAGTGTGGTCGGAAGTGGGACATGGTTAAGACATTTGGTAGGGTGGTCAGAAGTGAGAGATGGTTCAGACGGCGAGGTAGTGTGGTCAGAAGTGAGACATGGTTAAGACATTTGGTAGTGTGGCGATAAGTGAGACATGGCTCAAACGGCTTGATAGTGTGGCGATATGTGAGACATGGTTTCGGCGACTTTGTAGTGTAACCAGAAGTGAGAGATGGTTCAGACGTCTTGGTAGTGTGGCCAGAAGTGACACATGGGTTAGACGGCTTAGTAGTTAGGCCAGAGGTCAGACATGGGGCAGAGAGCTTGGTAGTGTGGCCAGAGGTCAGACATGGTTCAGACGGCATGGCAGTGTGGCCAGAATTGAGACGTGGTTCAGACGGAAATGGTAGTGTGGCCAGAAGTGAGACGTGGTTTAGACGGCATGGTTGTGTGGCCAGAAGAGAGATATCGTTCAGATGGCATGGTTGTGTGATCAGAAGTGGGATATGGTTTAGACGGCTTGGTAGTGCGGCCAGAAGTGAGACATGGTTTAGACGGCGTGGTAGTGTGGACAGAAATGAGACATGGTTTAGACGGCGTGGTAGTGTGACCAGAAGTGAGATATGGTTAAGACGGATTGGTAGTGTGGCCAGAAGTGAGACCTGGTTAAGACGGGTTGGTCGTGTGACCAGAAGTGAAATATGGTTAAGACGGCTTGGTAGTGCGGCCAGAAATGAGATATTGTTTAGACGGCTTGGTAGTGTGGCTTGAGGTGAGAGATGGTTGAGACGGCTCGGTAGTGTGGCCAGAGGTGAGACATTGTTAAGACGGCATGGTAGTGTGACCAGAAGTGAGATATAGTTAAGACGGCTCGGTAGTGTGGCCAGCAGTGAGACATGGTTAAGGCGGCTCGGTAGTGTGGCAGAAGTGAGAGAAGGTTAAGACGGCTTGGTAGTGTGGTCAGAAGTGAGAGATGGTTCAGACGGCGTGGTAGTGTGGTCAGAAGTGAGACATGGTAAAGACATTTGATAGTGTGGCGATAAGTGAGACATGGTTTAGATGACGTGGTAGTGTGGTCAGAAGTGAGACATGGTTAAGACATTTGGTAGTGTGGTCAGAAGTGAGATATGGTTCTGACGGCGTGGTAGTGTGATCAGAAATGAGACATGGTTAAGACATTTGGTAGTGTGGTCAGAAGTGAGATATGGTTCTGACGGCGTGGTAGTGTGATCAGAAATGAGACATGGTTCAGACGGCTTGATAGTGTGGCGATAAGTGAGACATGGCTCAAACGGCTTGATAGTGTGGCGATATGTGAGACATGGTTTCGGCGACTTGGTAGTGTAACCAGAAGTGACACATGGGTTAGACGGCTCAGTAGTTAGGCCAGAGGTGAGACATGGTTCAGACGGCTTGGTACATGTAGTGTGGCCAGAGGTGATACATGGTTAAGACGACTTGGTAGTGTGGCCAGAAGTGAGACATGGTTTAGACGGATCAGTAGTATGGCCAGAAGTGAGAGATGGTTCAGACGGCATGGTAGTGTGGCCAGAATTGAGACGTGGTTCAGACGGCATGGTAGTGTGACCAGAAGTGAGACATGGTTTAGACGGCATGGTAGTGTGACCAGAAGTGAGATATGGTTCAGACGGCTCGGTAGTGTGGCCAGAAGTGAGACATGGTTAAGACGGAATGGTAGTGTTGCCAGAAGTGAGACATGGTTTAGACGGCGTGGTAGTGTGGACAGAAATGAGATATAGTTAAGACGGAATGGTAGTGCGGCCAGAAGTGAGAGATGGTTTAGACGGCGTGGTAGTGTGGCCAGAAGTGACACATGGGTTAGACGGCTTAGTAGTTAGGCCAGAGGTCAAAGATGGGGTAGACGGCTTGGTAGTGTGGCCAGAGGTGATACATGGTTAAGACGACTAGGTAGTGTGGCCAGAAGTGAGACATTGTTTAAACGGCTAAGTAGTGTGGCCAGAAGTGAGACGTGGTTCAGACGGCATGGTAGTGTTGCCAGAATTGAGACGTGGTTCAGACGGAAATGGTAGTGTGGCCAGAAGTGAGACGTGGTTTAGACGGCATGGTTGTGTGGCCAGAAGAGAGATATCGTTCAGACGGCATGGTAGTGTGACCAGAAGTGAGATATGGTTCAGACGGCTCGGTAGTGTGGCCAGAAGTGGGATATGGTTTAGACGGCTTGGTAGTGCGGCCAGAAGTGAGACATGGTTAAGACGGAATGGTAGTGTGGCCAGAAGTGAAACATGGTTAAGACGGCATGGTAGTGTGGCCAGAAGTGAGACATGGTTCAGGCGGCATGGTAGTTTGGCCAGAAGTGAGACATGGTTCAGACGGCATGGTAGTGTGGCCAGAGGTGAGAGATGGTTGAGACGGCTCGGTAGTGTGGCCAGAGGTGAGACATGGTTAAGACGGCTAGGCTGTTTTGCCAGAGGGAGAGATGTTTGAGACGGCTCGGTAGTGTGGCCAGCAGTGAGACATGGTTTAGACGGCATGGTGGTGTGGCCAGATGTGAGAGATGGTTAAGACGGCATGGTAGTGTGGCCAGAGGTGAGAGATGATTCAGACGGCATGGTAGTGTGGCCAGAGGTGAGAGATGATTCAGACGGCATGGTAGTGTGGCCAGAGGTTAGAGATGATTCAGACGGCATGGTAGTGTGGCCAGAAGTGAGAGATGGTTAAGACGGCATGGTGGTGTGGCCAGATGTGAGAGATGGTTAAGACAGCATGGTAGTGTGGCCAGAAGTGAGAGATGGTTAAGACGGAATGGTAGTGTGGCCAGCAATGAGAGATGGTTAAGACAGCATGGTAGTGTTGCCAGAAGTGAGAGATGGTTAAGACGGCATGGTGGTGTGGCCAGATGTGAGAGATGGTTCAGACAGCATGGTAGTGTGGCCAGATGTGAGAGATGGTTAAGACGGAATGGTAGTGTGGCCAGTGGTGAGAGATGATTCAGACGGCATGGTAGTGTGGCCAGAGGTGAGAGATGATTCAGACGGCATGGTAGTGTGGCCAGAAGTGAGATATGGTTAAGACGGCATGGTGGTGTGGCCAGATGTGAGAGATGGTTAAGACAGCATGGTAGTGTGGCCAGATGTGAGAGATGGTTAAGACGGAATGGTAGTGTGGCCAGCAATGAGAGATGGTTAAGACGGCATGGTAGTGTTGCCAGAAGTGAGAGATGGTTAAGACGGCATGGTGGTGTGGCCAGATGTGAGAGATGGTTAAGACAGCATGGTAGTGTGGCCAGCAATGAGAGATGGTTAAGACGGCATGGTAGTGTGGCCAGAAGTGAGAGATGGTTAAGACGGCTAGGCAGTGTGGCTAGAAGTGAGAGATGTTTGAGACGGCTCGGTAGTGTGGCCAGCAGTGAGACATGGTTAAGACAGCATGGTGGTGTGGCCAGATGTGAGAGATGGTTAAGACGGCATGGTAGTGTGGCCAGAGGTGAGAGATGATTCAGACGGCATGGTAGTGTGGCCAGAGGTGAGAGATGATTCAGACGGCATGGTAGTGTGGCCAGAGGTGAGAGATGATTCAGACGGCATGGTAGTGTGGCCAGAGGTGAGAGATGATTCAGACGGCATGGTAGTGTGGCCAGAAGTGAGAGATGGTTAAGACGGCATGGTGTTGTGGCCAGATGTGAGAGATGGTTAAGACAGCATGGTAGTGTGGCCAGAAGTGAGAGATGGTTAAGACGGCATAGTAGTGTGGCCAGAGGTGAGAGATGGTTGAGACGGCATGGTCGTGTGGCCAGAGGTGAGAGATGGTTGAGACGGCTCGGTAGTGTTGCCAGAGGTGAGAGATGGTTAAGACGACATGGTAGTGTGGCCAGAGGTGAGACATGGTTAAGACGGCTAGGCAGTGTGGCTTGAGGTGAGAAATGGTTGAGACGGCTCGGTAGTGTGGCCAGAAGTGAGAGATGGTTCAGATGGCATGGTAGTGTGGCCAGAGATGAGAGATGGTTGAGACGGCTCGGTAGTGTTGCCAGAAGTGAGAGATGGTTCAGATGGCATGGTAGTGTTGCCAGAAGTGAGACATGGTTTAGACGGCGTGGTAGTGTGGACAGAAATATGATATAGTTAAGACGGAATGGTAGTGCGGCCAGAAGTGAGAGATGGTTTAGACGGCGTGGTAGTGTGGCCAGAAGTGACACATGGGTTAGACAGCTTAGTAGTTAGGCCAGAGGTCAAAGATGGGGTAGACGGCTTAGTAGTGTGGCCAGAGGTGAGACTTGTGTCAGACAGCTTAGTACATGTAGTGTGGCCAGAAGTGATACATGGTTCAGACGGCTTGGTAGTGTGGCCAGAAGTGAGACATTGTTTAGACGGCATGGTAGTGTGACCAGAAGTGAGACGTGGTTCAGACGGAATGGTAGTGTGGCCAGTATTGAGACGTGGTTCAGACGGAAATGGTAGTGTGGCCAGAAGTGAGACGTGGTTTAGACGGCATGGTTGTGTGGCCAGAAGAGAGATATCGTTCAGACGGCTCGGTAGTGTGGCCAGAAGTGGGATATGGTTTAGACGGCGTGGTAGTGTGGACAGAAATGAGATATAGTTAAGACGGAATGGTAGTGCGGCCAGAAGTGAGATATGGTTAAGACGGATTGGTAGTGTGGCCAGAAGTGAGACCTGGTTAAGACGGGTTGGTCGTGTGACCAGAAGTGAAATATGGTTAAGACGGTTTGGTAGTGCGGCCAGAAGTGAGATATTGTTTAGACGGCTTGGTAGTGTGGCTTGAGGTGAGAGATGGTTGAGACGGCTCCGTAGTGTGGCCGGCAGTGAGACATGGTTAAGACGGCATGGTAGTGTGGCCGGAAGTGAGAGATGGTTAAGGCGGCTCGGTAGTGTGGCCAGAAGTGAGAGATGGTTGAGACGGCTTGGTAATGTCGCCAGAGGTGAGAGATGGTTGAGACGGCTTGGTAATGTCGCCAGAGGTGAGAGATGGTTGAGACGGCATGGTAGTGTGGCCAGAAGTGAGAGAAGGTTAAGACGGCTTGGTAGTGTGGCCAGAGGTGAGAGATGGTTGAGACGGCATGGTAGTGTGGCCAGCAGTGAGACATTGTTTATACGGCGTGGGAGAGTGTAGTCATAACAATAAAGCAGCAACACACATCCACAACAACGAATAACGAACAACTGACCTATGTCCTCGACCATACTGTCGACAACGTCACTTAGATCATCAAGTTGGTTCTGCAGATTTCCGACCTGTGTTTCCAGTGCGTTTTCTGTAACCAGGAAACGATGGTAAGAATCCTTCGATATAGTTTGGGTGGTTAGTTGGTTGGTTTGTTGTTTTACGCCGCACTCTGGATTATTCCAGCTACATGACGGCGGTCTGTAAATAATCGAGTCTGGACAAGACAATCCCAGTGATTGACATCATGAGCATCGGTCCACGCAGTTGGGATCAATGACATGCTTCAAACCAAGTCAGCGAACCTAACCACCCGATCCCGTTAGTCGCCTCTTACGACAAGCATATTCGCCTTTTACGGCAAGCATGGGTTGCTGAAGATCTATTCTCACCCGGATCTTCACGGGTGTCTTTTACAAGAGAATTATTTTTATTGTATATGTAATGCTGTCACATTAAGTAAGTTTTGACAAATATGTGATAAAGTCATCATTTAAAACAATTCAAACATAATCTTTGTTTGTTTTTGTTGCTGTTTAACGCCATGTACCAGATATATGACGGTGGTCTGTAAATAACCGAGTCTCGACCAGACAATGCAGTGATTGACATCATGAACATCGATCTACGCAACCAAACTGGGATTAGATGACATGCATCAACCAAGAATGCGAGCCTGACCACCCATTCTCGTTCGTCGTCTCTTACGACAAGCATGGGTTGATTAAGACTAATTCTAATCCGGATCTTCAAGGATTAAAACGTTATCTGAAGTACTAGTGGGGTTGTCCCAATAGTCATACACTGATCCCTTAACATCAAGGGCATAGTTGGACACTTTTACTTCTTACCAAACATTGCCATCTTTAACTGAATAACTTACGTTCATACACTTATTCTAAACTAATTAGTTCACACCTTACTTCAATAACATTGTACTTCCATGGCATATTTAAAACACCGCAAAACTCCAGCCCTTAACTTCAACGCCACGACTGGAAGAAGCTCCACCCGAACATGTCTTGTTCCTGATGTGTTGCTTAAAGAGGAAATTCAATGGACTGACATACGATTGGCGCTTGAATCCGATGAGACTGTGGCTATTTCCGCAACCAAGGCATCCAGACTAGACTGAAGACCCGTCACTCCAGCTAAAAGATAAGAAACGTGTAGAAGTGTTAATATCTGTATATAACATAATCGATAGAATATATTGGGTAAATAAGATTTTTGTTTGTTTGTTTGTTGATTATCGCGTTACTCTGCAATAAGGTAACTCCTTGACGTCGGTCTGCAAATACTCAATTCCGGACCAGACAATCCAGAACATCGGTCCATCAACCAAGTCATCGAGCCTGACCACAAAGACCCGTTAATCGCCTCGTACGACAAACATGGGTTGCTGAAGACCTGTTCTAACCCAGGTCTTCACGGGTCGGAACGTTAAGAACTGTCTCAGTAGTTTGTTATCAGATTATTCAGTAAATCTTGCCTCGTGGCTTAAAATATACATTCAACACAATATCACATGTTTTAGTTAAAGGTATATTTTTTCATGAGTATATGCTACATGAACAAGTGAATCTACCGTTCAATGTATTTATTCAAATAAATATATACAACTTACAGAAGGATATAAACAATAGGTTGTGTAGTTTAGTTAAGCTACAATGAAAGTAAAAATTAACCTTCCATTGCAACATGTATGCGCTTGAGACCTAGAGTCTCTGAACAACCAATACTGAAAGAAAGGCTAATTTGATGTTTGGTCAGATGATCAAAACATAATTTACTGAGGTCGACATTTATTTTGATGATGGCGATCTCAATAATAAGTCGTTACTATAAGGGGAAGGAGTGAGTTGCGGGCACACGAGGTGTGGGCTCTCACACTTTGTACCCATTTGGGAACCGAATCGGCGAACGCTTCAGTCACCAGGCTACCCTACCACCCCTCCAAGGAGAGCAAGTAAATGAGTTGGGTTCGCGTCGTTTGAACAGTATTTCAGTTATACTACAGCATGCCCACGTAATGTTGCTGGAGAGCCCAGTTGAACAGGCAGGAGTATGACTGGTGATATAAGAGAACTGTCAGATTCAAGCTGAAACGCGTAGATCTGCATAACGGATTTCGGCGGCTAGGCCACCCGTGTCCTCTTGGTGGATGAACTGAACAATCCAGCACTTCGCGGAGAGCTTATGCCACTGTTGATGATACATTACTTATGAATCTGTTGCATATCACCAGAGAGTGGAATACATACTCTGTAGAGTTCCAATGGAGTTGGCATGGTCCGCGACGTTGGCCTGAACATCAGCAACTGCCGAGTCTGTCTGCGACCCTGCGATAAAACAGAAGCTTACGAGTGAGTGAGTGAATGTGGTTTTACGCCGCTTTTAGCAATATTCCAGCAATATCACGGCGGGGGACACCAGAAATGGGCTTCACACATTATACCCATGTCGGGAATCGAACCCGGGTCTTCGGCGTGATGAGAGAAGGCTTTAACCACTAGGCTACCCGACCGCCCCAGGAGCTTACAGAGGTGTGGAAGGACATATGCGAGACAGGGACGAGACTGAGGTAACTAACACGGCGTTGAAAAGTGATGGCAGCCTAATGTGGGCAAGAAGTCCAAAAAGGATTTAATTCATAAACGTTTGTTAGTTTGCAGTAATGGTGCCAATAGACAAAGAGGAATGGTCGATGCGCATTTGGGTAGAGACCGGGCTCACTGGGACAAGAATACAGAACAGGAACAATATCCTTTAAGAACTGAAGATCTTTTACATGCGTTTACTAATCGTAAGTTCATGTACGCCTTAAATGTGTTATAAGCATCTCCTCATAATCATGCAAGCTCTTTCCTAATAGGCAATGACAAGTTTGTTGAAAAATGCCTTTTGTTCCGATCGAAGCAAGTTGGAATATGCCTTGTCCTCTCGTTAATGTTAACTGATTTAGCTTATTATATATCTGCGTCTACACACGTGTACACTTTTAATTATGTTCAGTTTAACAAATAAATGTTATGTCTGAAATATAAAGTTAAGTGAATATTTATTTTCACTGATTCTATTTGCCATCAGGACGATTCAATAATGATACTCTACACGCAGCCAAGACAGCGAATGGGACTTCTCCCAGGAAGCGCTGCCTAGTCAAACCCAGACAGAACTTTTCGGAGAATGTAAAGACTCCCCAACACTGCAGCCTTCTGCATTTCCCAGATTGTCAGAAGGGCTGTATTCCTGGTAGTAAACCCGGGTACAACCCCGATGTCAGCCAACAGATTTGGAGGTACCAAACGTAAGGCACCGAGAACAATTGGGAGTCCGACAACTTGGTACTTGGGATGCAAGCGTGACATTTCGAAAGTGAGGTCTGCATATTTGCCATGTTTTCCCTCAATCTTGTCAGTCACATAAGTGTCAAAAGGGACAGAAAATTCAATGATATAAATGATTTCATTGGATTTATCAAAAAGGACAAGATCAGGTTTGTTGGCCTGGATACGTCTGAGGCCGTAAATGGGCCTATTCCAAAGAATTTTTTTATTGATCATTTTCCATGACGCCGTCTACATATTATTATTATTTTTATTATCATTATCATTATCATTATCATTATTATTATGAGCCTTAAATTGTGAACACGTATATATTTACCAACAGTTTGAAGGTCGGCAAGATCAGCTGCAATGCCATCCACTGTGGTGCTCAAAGAGTCGATACCAGACACACTTATGGCCTCTGAAATCAGTAACGGACACGACGATACCTACCACTGCACCAAAGACTCTATTTTCTATAAACCATCTGGAAGTGTCCTGATGAGAACACGTGAGCGACAACCTGATAAATACATCCTGAATATCCAGATTCAAATGAATATAGTTACATCTCATTTAATATCTAAAACTTGAGCCGCCGACAGGAAGCCATGGCCACAAGTTTCCAAATGTGATACATGTTGGCCTCGCATGAAAACACTAGAGTAACAACGTCTTGTATGAATATTCGAAGAATAGACGACTAAAATGGAATGTGGTCATAAGGTCGAGTCGTCGGTCTGTAAACCATCGAATTTGGACCAGTCAATCCAGTGATTGACATCATGAGCATCGATCTACGCACTTTGGAACCAAGTCAGCTAGCCTGACCACCCAATCCCGTTAGTCGCTTTTTACGACAAGCATAGTCGCCTTTTACGGCAAGCATGGGTTGCTGAAGACCTAATCCATTCTAACGTATATCTTCACGGGTCGCTTGATTTAAAGGCGGGCTGTGAAAAGGTGACACATGCTCTGGACAAGCTTGTTGTCGATGGACCGAAGACAAAGTATCAGGTACAATGATACAAATATTCTACAGTAAACTACGGTGATAACGAACTCAAAGGGACCACTAATTTTAGTTCGTAATAACCGTAGTTCGTTATAGGCATATATACAGCATGTATACAACAAATGGTCGGGATTAAAAAATAAGTTCGTTATATCGGTCAGTTCGTTATAAGCGTGTTCGTTATAAACGTACTTTACTGTATCTGTATTCTGTAAGATTGTTCATTTCTATGTGGATTGATGCCATTATTATCAAATTTCTATACCCTCATTAAGTATTACAGAATAATATTATAGAAAAAACATTGTTAGCAAAATGCTGACTGCTGCACACTTACGTGCATCAAGATGACTTTGTAGAGTTCCAATTGTTGTTTCCATGCCATTGAACTTCACCGTATAGTCGCTTACAAAAACTGAAAGAAGAAAACAATATATTGAGCATTTCTCAACAACCTTACAAGAATGAATGTACCCCGAGACCTAACATGACTGCATGTGTGTCTATAGCTTACATAGTACTCAAATTACATATGCTGTTAAACTTGTTTGAAATGACATGCAGATCCGTTCAACCTATATAGGAACCCATAAATAAGACCATCATAAACATTTAAATATTCACCTGGAATCTATTAAGTCCGGAAAATAGCGAACATGGTAGTACATGCTATTATGTTAAATAAACCGAAAATCTGCATTTGGGGAGTTAACTATGTCCTCATCATACTGTTGCAAAAGTTCAACAATGTAACTATCACAATACGATCTCAATAGTGCAATGACCCCCATAGCCATCCGCGTTATTGACTTACCAGCATTTTCTGTAGCTGTTCCTTGTATTGAGTCCACAAGAACTTGGATTTCCGAAGCCTGATTCTGCATAGTTTCAATCATTGTATGGATGTCTTCGCAGCCTGTAAGACAGTGCAAATGTGTATATCTCTTATTGCCATACAAATAATTACACTTGGTGAGGACATTATGTGAAAACAAAGACGCGGCGACCATTCCCCTGAGATGTGACTACCTCGGTTCTCGCTAAAAAGTGCTTAATTTCGCCTTTTTGTAGTTTTAAAACAATTCAGTTTAGACCTCAAGAAAAATCAGAGAACCATGTCAATTACCATTCATAGATGCGATAATGTTTTCAAGCAGACGAAATCAATATTGATCACGTGCCAGTTCAATAACGATCATGTGACGAGTCAAATTTCGTGGTCGTGTCTGTCACGTAATTTGACCCAGCCATTACGGGTAACATCTCGATATGTTAGGACAACATTGAGGTGTATTGTTTCGCCACGACATATGGATTAACCAATGAAATTAGATTCTTGACAGAGGTATAACATTATTCGAATAATACTGGTAAGCTGTTGTCAGCTTTCACCATTCATGTTTTGTGATATGGTAAATACAATCGAAACTATCGATATTCCTAACTGAAATCGATACCATTGATCGGAAACTGATTTAACAATCGATTGATTGACTTTAAGTGCTTACCAAAAGCAATGACGCAGACTCCAATCTTTCTTACCTCCTACTCTTTGACAGTCTCCAAAGTCTGCACGTGAATCTTTCTTACCTCCTACTCTTTGACAGATTCCAAAGTCTGCACGTGAATCTTTCTTACCTCCTACTCTTTGACAGATTCCAAAGTCTGCACGTACATCTTTCTTACCTCCTACTCTTTGACAGATTCCAAAGTCTGCACGTGTATCTTTCTTACCTCCTACTCTTTGACAGATTCCAAAGTCTGCACGTGAATCTTTCTTACCTTCTACTCTTTTACAGTCTCCACTGTCAGCACGTGAATCTTTCTTACCTCCTACTTTTTGACAGATTCCAAAGTCTGCACGTGTATCTTTCTTACCTCCTACTCTTTGACAGATTCCAAAGTCTGCACGTGAATCTTTCTCACCTTCTACTCTTTGACAGTCTCCACTGTCAGCACGTGAATTTTTCTTACCTTCTACTCTTTGACAGTCTCCACTGTCAGCACGTGTATCTTTCTTACCTTCTACTCTTTCACAGACTCCAATCGCTGAACGTGTATCTTTCTTACCTCCTACTCTTTGACAGGCTTCAATGGCTGACCGTGTATCTTTCTTACCTCCTACTCTTTGACAGACTCCAATGGCTGACCGTGTATCTTTCTTACCTCCTACTCTTTGACAGGCTTCAATGGCTGACCGTGTATCTTTCTTACCTCCTACTCTTTGACAGACTCCAATGGCTGACCGTGTATCTTTCTTACCTCCTACTCTTTGACAGGCTTCAATGGCTGACCGTGTATCTTTCTTACCACCTACTCTTTGACAGGCTTCAATGGCTGACCGTGTATCTTTCTTACCTCCTACTCTTTGACAGACTCCAATGGCTGACCGTGTATCTTTCTTACCTCCTACTCTTTGACAGGCTTCAATGGCTGACCGTGTATCTTTCTTACCTCCTACTCTTTGACAGACTCCAATGGCTGACCGTGTATCTTTCTTACCTCCTACTCTTTGACAGGCTTCAATGGCTGACCGTGTATCTTTCTTACCTCCTACTCTTTGACAGACTCCAATGGCTGACGGTGTATCTTTCTTACCTCCTACTCTTTGACAGACTCCAATGTCAGCCCGTAGATCAGCCATCTCCGTCATTAAATCTACGATGGAAGCTGAAGCTTCTTCGTGTTTCAAATCTGCAAAAAAATTATCAGTTACATATGCAACGTTGTTTTAAAGAAGGAGCTTTTCAGTATTACATCGTGGGATGGGGTCTTAATAGGGGAGCAAACCCCAAAGTGTTGCAAGTTATTACCTATGGGAGCGGGTAAGGTGCAGAAAGTTAATAACTAGCGGATCCTGCTCTGTCTAAGGGATTTCATTGGACTTATTGTATTTCAAGTTATATCCACATATGACATTACATAAAGCTTTCAATATTTACGTTCATATCCAAGGAACACACAGTATAGCTATAGTGAATGAGTTAAATTTTACATAGCATTTCTTTGAAAGATTGATGGTATGTCATATGTCGATATAACTTGAAATACAAACTGTTTGATATTTGTTCATGTAAATGTAAATGTAAAACCTATATGTAAATGAAATATAAATTTAAATATAAATGTAAATGTATTGATATATGTGTATCGAAAAATGAGAAACATGGCGGCCGTGCTGCCGTAGGCGGGTGTTGACGGTTGAGATGATATTTTCCAAACACAGTGAGCTTATTGATCACAACTCATATAGAACTTGGTGTAAGACTACAATCATGTGTGTGGACAGTGGAGGATGGAGAATGAGAATAGGAACCTTTACACAGCATTTTACGTTACGAGGCGTGAATGTTGAGAAATGTGACTCCACGTCGAGATGGTCACCCTTCAATGATTACATGGTTCGCCTCGCTGCAATGCCTATCGTGTTTCTAGTGGTGAGATTTGTGTTAGTGTGACCAGCAAGGTATGTGGTGAACCGACTCGTGGAAAAATCTTGTCATTTTCGTGTGAAAGCTGTTCAAATGAGTGCGGTACTTGCACGACGGATGCCATTGTCGAGAACCACCCTTTATACCTCACATCATTGTACGCCGTGACTAGCCCTTCCTAAACCCTTTCATCGTATCTAAGCTTCTGTTGTGTGCTGGAGATATCGAGCATAACCCAGGACCTGTTGATATCGCTATGGAATTGCTTAAGTCTGTTCTCGCAAAAATGACGTGAAATAAGTCAGAAATTTGTGGCCAAATGAGCAAACGTAGTGGCTGCCGAAGTAAAATCACGAACAGCGATGTATTCAGAATTGGAGAAATCAAGTAATGGCAAGAGAGGTTACTTCAAAGGTGGTCGGCTTGTTGTGGAGACATGGCGACAAAGGCTGCCGAAAACGAGTGGAACTGTTATTTCATTTATTTCTTAGTGTGCAGTATATCGAAGAGTATACAGCGATACCGTTTTGGTGTTTGGAGACTTAAACAGCAGAACTGGCGGAGACGATAATTACGTCGTAGATGATGTTATGCGTGACGTTGAAGGGGGTGATCATTTTCCTGACGGTTCAACTCAATTTGAAAAACCAAGATTTTCATCCAATCACAAGGTAAACGCGTTTGGAAAATAGCAACTGGAGCTGTGTTCACTTCTGGACATATATAAAATAAACAGAAGAGACTTTTCGTTCATTGAAAACTTATAGGATATGCTTTAGCGTCATAAAACTTAGTGAATCCTTTGTCACAAACATGTCATCACAGATTATCACTGATGTGTTAGCAAGCGCAGCATTGTGTTGTATCTCAGACATATCTGGGTGGGTGGGTGGGTGTGAGTGAGTGAGTGAGTGAGTGAGTGAGTGAGTGAGTGAGTGAGTGAGTGAGTGAGTGAGTGAGTGAGCGCGCATAATTATGCGCCGTTTTAGCAATACTCCAGCAATATCACGACCGAGGACACCAGAAATGGGCTTCACACATTGTACCCATGTAGGGAATCGAACCCTGACCGTAGGCGTGACGAGCGGACACTTTAATCACTTGGCTACCCCACAAACCCGTATAAGATTCGAATTGGTAGTTGTGATTCTACAGTCGAATGATTATTAAGTTAAACAATACAGCTGTTTCATAGTATGTGGGTAAGCATCTTGAGTCGAGGTACTCTCTAGTTTAAAGATGTACTTTGACATGCGTTGTTGCAAACCAAAAGTGACGTCATCAACCCGGAAGTGCAGATAACCTTCTTCCCGAAAATAGTCAGAGGCATATATTATGTGTTTTAAAGTTTGCTAGCGGTGTAAGAATCCACAATGAAACGCCGCTTAAAGCAATAAACCAAAAGTTATTATTCATAAAGATATACGTTTTCCTCTTTACACGCCAACTTCAAGAATGCCGCTCAAACGCTCATTTTCCCGTATCAAATTGAAATGGATGAGGTTTAGAGTTACCTTGTTCGATGAGCTGGTCGGAAATACTTGTGTCCAGGCTTTGAACAGTTGCGTCAACACCAGCAACGGTTTGCTCCAAGCTATTCGCTCTCTCTTGTAATGCTGAGGAAATAGAATTTGGTTAGGAACCATGAGTTTTGTTTCAAAACAGCTATGGGCATGAAAGGATCCGGCGAATCAGTTTCGTTTAACTAGAAACTGAATGGCGAATCAGTTTCGTTTAACTAGTAACTGAATTAATCAAACATTAACATCACATTCGCGAAGGTAAGAAATGACATGAAGCTTTGAGGGACCCAGCACTTACTACGCTTGGGGGTTAGCTGGGAAAGCACCAGCATGTTTCAGACACTGATTAACTGTTGAAAAGAAACCGTCTTTTTTAAAATAGATCCCACTCTAAAACTTATTTGCAAAAACATATATCTGGCATTTCAAGTGAAAGAAAATGACATGGTTTGTATCCAAAGGTTTACAGTCCCCTTCCTATGACTTCGACCTGAAATGACCGTTCCGTTTACCGTCCAGGATTATTAGGTGATGTAACAACCCACTCACCATTGATTTCTGATGTGTAGTCGGTGCTCTGAGCAGATTCAAGGTCACTCACACGTGTTTCAAGGTCATCTACCACTTGGTTTGAACTTTGACCTGAACGAGACATTCAAATAACTTTACTACAGAATAAACATTCATGGTTGTTACAAGAATCCAAGAGGCTGGCTTAGAACTCCTCCCCAGCAACATGTGCTGGTCGTAAAGTGCGCCTCGGGGATCGGAACTCAGGCTCCGTAACTTGGTCGATTGCTCATGTTCTTCAGATTAAATGTGCTTCTGATGAAAAGCTTATTCCATTTGTTCAAACATTCAAGGTACATATGTCATCATTAGTGTAAAATCACATAATTAAACAGTCACTAATATGCTTACAACGAATTGAACAGTTATTCGGTTGAGGAATCACTTCCTTCAACTCTTCCCGAAAGAAAGGCCAAGAGAAGTAAAACGTTTGACATTTATAAAGTTTTTGCTCAATTCAGAAGCTGATATTTATTTGTGTTTTAGCGTGTTGAAATGTTTACCTTCAACTGAAGCAATTCGTGCTTCGAAGCCGCTGATGTCTGATTCAATACTTGCAAGGTCTTCATGTGTAGGAACATTAGCTATGCTGTTGGATAGGGCATTGATCCGAGCTAAAATAAAAAAAGGAGCTCTTACAAGAGACAATAATACTTATCGATAAGGAATGGAAAATACATTAGTTAATGCAGTTACCCCTGGATATAGTGGTTTAACTGACAATACAAAATATTTCATTAAGAAGCAACCCCCCCCCCCCCCCCCCCCCCCCCCCCCGACACACACCTTACTAAGCATACTACTAGATATATTTACTTTACAGCGAGGGTCTACTTAAATGCCACTGTTAATTGTGTTTCTATCTTACTGTCGTAGCCCATCGCCAGATCTTCCACCCCAGTCACTGATGATGCCAGGTCTGCCAGCGAGTCTTCAAGCGTGGTAACATCAGCTCCGACTGAATAAGAAGAGTATAAAGTTCATTGTGTATGACTGTGCGTGTATTTCTAACAAGGACTGCCTCCATGGACGGGTGGTAGAGCGGCTGGCCGTAGAGCAGGTCGGGGTTCGACTCCCGGCTGCGTCATTCCAAAATATGTAAAAAGATGGTACTTGTTACTCTGCTCGGCATTAAGGGGCTAAAACAAGGACTGGTCGACTCGGAGGCAGTATACTGTGTCTGAGTTGGTTAGGTATCTCAGTTGGCGTGTACTATACAATTTGCATTAGTCCGGACTAGTTCAAGCACACACACACGTGCATGCACGTCGCTATATAAGTGCAGTTATCTTGAACGCGATGTTAAGCCCCATTTCACCTCATCCCATCCAACGAAAATCAGGATTTTCACCAATTCATAAATTTCCAACTTTGCGCCCAAAGGTTATATTTCTCAGTACGTTATTACAGTTAAAAAATAACGTTGCCATCATTTTACCGTCAATACGTGAAACTGACGGAATCATCTCTTCGAATAAATGAAAGATTAATTTATCACAAGAATCCCCAAAGTATATTTTCCGTAGTCAATGAAGTTTTTATCAGTTATGCAAAGCCTATAAATACACGAGCCAGTATGAAATTGTTTTCTGAACTGAATTTCAGTTTCATGGAGTTTCAATATTAATCATTCGCAGTTTCTCTTCACTGTATGGTTAAATCAAATTCCCTCTCGTTATCTGATCTGCTTTGTCAGTCCCTACAGACCTGAAGATTACTTTGTTTACAAATTTTGGATTGGGAAAAAACATAGGTTCGTAGACAATGATTGAATATTTGTTATTTTAACTTTTTATGATCGACACCTTTTCGAGCTATGTTTCTATTAATATTTTCCTCTTCTTGGTATTGAGGAACCAAAGGACACGAAAGTAAACATTTCATCATGTTTGTTTGTTTGTTTTGTTGTTTAGCGCCACACAAGGCAATAGTATAGTTATACGACAGCGGCCTATAATTATTACTAATTAATAGAGACTGGACATCTATCCACGCAACTGGGATACGACGACATGGAGTGACCTATCACCGAGCATGACAACCTAATCCATTTAATCACCTCTTAAGGCAAGCGTACATGTAGGCTGCTTATTTTCTTATCCGAAATCCCCACATGTCAGCTATCTATTGTTTTCCCAACACTTCAATTTTGATCCTTATGCCATTCTTGATTTATATGTAGGAGTCTTTTTACTGTGTATCATTGTGCCCATCCAAACGTATTGAGTCTTGTCTTTGAAAGGCATTTAGAAGTGATACATATGAGGAAGAAAATTATTGATGTCAACTTCTTTATTATGAGGAACACAACGTTTCGGAGTATGTACTTACTCCTTCAGTATTTCAATCACTGTCTACCTTTAATATATACTGGAAGACAAGTGATAACCCATTTAGAAATGTTTAAGGAATTACAGTGATGTACAAAGATTTATTATATATAAATCATAAGATCCAAAAACCAATATTTTGCGAAAGTATTTAACGAAGGCAAAGTTCTGATAGTGATACCTAAATGAAACTTGTCATGTACATGTGTGTAAGTTTCTGCGTGGCTATTTGTGGCCTTTAAAAGTCTCTTAAGAACATGAATTTTATTCAATACAAAATGACTATGTTTCAAATCTCTGCCATGAACAAATTTAAAGTACCATGGGGTCTTATATTCAAGATTCAAGATTCTTCATTACATTAATGGAGGCCTCGTTGCCAAGAGTACAATACAAAACATGTGGTCTTACATATGTTCACAAGGGTTCAGTTCTTATTAACTGGCACGAACAAGTCCCAATGGGTTGCTACACATCATTTGTTTTCTTGTCACAATCAGATGTTTTGAAATATATGTGGCTACTGTTATTTAAATGGAAAAACAAATACCTTTTCCATTTCAGACAAATTTATTGGTTTTAGCTATTTAATTTTCATCATCTAAATATTCAGATTTAACCGTTCACACCTTTGTCCGTTTGACCAAGTTCATATAATGTGGCATACAATTATTTTTCCATCTGTAATTAGGTTATTATTACATACGTTATCTCACTTGTAACATGTCTGTATAGAAGAAATGCTTGGACAGTCCTTCCCCACGCCATTAGATTTATAAAATATGGTAAAATACCATTGGTCCTCGTCAGGGAGCAATCTCTGTGATGTACTTACCATCTGTTATGGACGCTTCCAGGGTGCTTTGCACAGTTGCAAGTTCACCTTCAACACCAGCCACGCTTGTAGTCAAGCCATGAATATCAGCACTGTAATCCGAACCGGGGGCTGTACAGGGGTGATAAAAAATGCAATTTGAAATACTATTTTACATGATGTTTCAAAGAGCATTTATGAATCGTGCTCAAAAGATGTTTGATCAGGGTTACAACATTCAAAGGGTTAAATTTGTAAAGCCTTCAAAAAGTTTATGGTAGAGATGTTGAGGGCATTTTTATATTTGATGCAATGTCCGATGCAATTCCCCATTTTGACGTTTACCTTTTTTTGCAGGTGATCAATTGACGTGTCTTTGCGTGTGTTTGTGACGGTTGCCATCAGTGGGGCAGGATACGCTCATCTAATATGCGAACACCTGGTCTTATCACTTTTTGATAGAGATTCTTAAATCAATGCTTATGACATAGTCGGAATTGTGGAATGGAGATTTCTTATGATTAATATGGAAATAGTCTTGTAGCTTTATTTATTAATTATGAAAGGCAAAAATGCGAATACCTCAGGCATAATGTGACTCGTCATTTTGCCCAACTCATGTCTACAACATGGTGTATTACCCCACAAAGTGTCAAACAGTGATGATCCCAGGTGTTCGCCAGATAAGCGTATCCTACCCCAGCAGTGAGTCCCATCACACACATGCAAAGGCAAGTCAAGTATTCACACAGGGGAACCAGCACGGGATCATATGGTGAAAAAATATATAGGGAATTGCATCCTTTAAGTCACTACTGATACATTCCATCTGAAAATGACTTCCACATTTACTGTAAAACTTTACCGAAAGCTTTACTGAAGCGCTGAATATTGTAATTCTGCTCAAAGAACTGTCAAGCAAGTGTGTGTGTAAGTGCGTGTGTTGCTTAACGCTGCTGTCATCAATATTCCAGCTAGACGACGGTGGTCTGTTAATAGTCTGGACCATTATGCCGCCCCGTACGACCAGTTTAAGTTAGGGGGAACAATTCTAACCAGGAATCTACAGCGGCACTTAGGGGCAAGAGTCATCTTACGTGATTTGAAATCTTTGCAGAAAGACAATGCTCGAGTTTACCTCAAAGGCTTGAGCTGCTAGAACATATTTGCTCGACATAATGATAAAGTTAACCATAGAGATGTGACTATGTGTAAGTTGACTATGTGACCATGTTGCCTTGTTGATATTATTCTACATATGTATTCACAGACCATGATGCTTACATAAATCTTGCTCCATATCATAATGTGTACATATGCACTTTTCAAGTATGTCGTATTAAAATACCACATTGTTGGCCTAATGAAATTGTCTACAACTCTAACTGTATGCGAAGAGAAGAACATCAATGATCTCACCTGGGGCAGCTGCGTTGGCCTGCTGGATGGTCGTTACGCTTGAAGTAAGTGAAGACATCTGGGACTGCAGTGAGTTCAAATCACTAAAGAGACTAGCTACATCGACTGGAAAGACAGATGAGGTCCAATAAGACTGAAATATATTTTGTTTTTCAAAATACAATTTGTTGCTTATGCAGGGTCGGTTCCCGACGGGCGTCAAGTGGTCCATGCTATTGAGGTTCATATCTAACCAGAACGACCTAGAGGACCTAGACAAGTCACCCATAAGTCCAACAGGGCATCTCGAAACGATATAGCAGGAATCTATATTGAACCCATATCCAGATATATATGAATAGTACATTACATTACACAATCATATATTACACATATCATATTAATCATAACCAAAGCTCTTTAAAAACTCATTTAATATTATCTATCTATCTATCTATCTATCTATCTATTTTATGTTTCCTGAGCTATCATCCAAAACATATCTGTGGATTGTTGACGTGACTCTTGCCTGTAGTGTCAATGTAATTATGTGGTCGGCATTTGCAACAGATTTAACCTCAATTGAACACCTTAAGGGTGGGCTTGGTCGGTGGGCACTTCCGCCTACAAACCCCCAGCAGGCGCTTGTTGGTGATTGGCGGACTATCTCAATCAAAATGGGGAATATCACTAGTGAGTCGATAATAGGAACTTGTCAAGCATTATATGGGCAAATTGTTGACACAATTATTAACACTGATTTGCATGATTTGGGTGAAGTGTGACATTCCTTGTCCCACGCGATTTCGTCACCATAGGGAGCATGACTTTGTTGGCATGACATACGAACTAGTTTAACTCCACTTATCGTGCTGTAACATGGTGTATTTGTAGTTGCGATCAATTTCCTTGACAGATAGTGATATGAAATAAACTAATATGCGAGTCTTAGTGAGTATACTGTCGTTTTTGGTTGAATATATAATGAATAGCACAAGAAGTCGAGGTATTGAAAAGCATAAAAATATTTTTTGGCTTTGTAAAATGCCGAACATTTTCCAGAGTACCTCAAGGTTATCGAACTTTGAAACTCGAGTATTTCAAATCACATACTTGTTTGAAACATCATAATGGTTTTACGTTAAAATGATTTGATCATATATTTAATATCTAAAACACTGGTGCGATACTCTTTTTATTAGAACTGGCAAATATACTACGTTGTATGCATTGTTTAAGCCATTTCCAAAAGATCATATGTACCCATGCTAATAATTATTGCCACCCCAAGATATATGTATCTTGGGATGGGGTGACAATAGTCATGAACAGGGGTACAGCAAACCACACGCCACTACAGTCACCAGGAGGCCACACAGTTCTCAACACGACGGCACAATCTAAGATACATAATCGCTAAATGTTAAGCGTTTTGATGTCCTTAACAAATGAGCTTCGAACAGGAAAACTCAAACTGTAATTCATGGTAAACAGTGTGTCGTTTTCAATGAATATTCCAGGAATCAAATAACAGATACAATCAACAAATCTGAAAACATAAAATATATCTATTAATTCTAATACGGAAATCTTCTTACCCGCGGTACTGTTCTGGCTGATGGTGATGTTTGTTAGGGAGGATTGCAGTTCCTCTAGGAAAGTTTCCATATCTCCTATGCTGTCCTCATTTCTTTGCACTCTGGTAGAAGTACTGTCTTTACTTTTCCCTGATGGCAATGTAAAGCCTTGACCGGCAAAAGGTGATGCTATAGTGCCGCCTGGTCCCGATATTGGAGAAGCTGCTGCAGCAGGAGAAAGGGAAGAAGAAGAAGAAGATGAAGAAGAAGAAGAAGGAATAGCAAGAGCAGGAGATGAAGACGGAGACGGAGCAGTTCCTGATACGGCGCTTTCCAGAGTAGACGCTAAGTTAGGAGGAAAGGCCATGCCATGGGGAAGACTTGCCAGAAGAATACAGAGGCCAAGAGTGAAGGTCTGTGCGGAAGCCATGTTGACTATTGTGTGCGGAATCCTGTGGATTTGCTGTGGTCAATTCTGTCCTGTCTTTATACGGTGTCATATCGGAATGGAAATCTTTTTCGTTGGCATTATTTGCTTTTCGGATCTCCAATTCTCAGTTATCATCGTATAAATCTAAACTTTTGAAATCAGACCATACAGTTGAGAACTATCTTTTCTTTCATCTGTCACGATGTTGACATGCTGCTATGTGTGGGGGATTGTACGAGAAGCATTATCTATTTTGGGAGCTTGACACTACAATTAACTCTAAAACATGAAAACAAATATTTTCTAATATCCACGAATGTCCCCATTTGGATGACCTCCAACTTAAATCTACAACACCCATGAGTCTGTGAGTCTGTGTATGTGGTTCTGTGTCTGTAAGTACGTTCTTGTGTGTCTGCGGGGCTCTGTTCATGTGTGTAATTGGATCTGTGACTGTGTGTTGGGCTCTGTTTGTACCTTTGACTCCATGTGTTTATGTGTTGGGTTCTGTTTGTACCTTTGACTCCATGTGTTTATGTGTTGGGCTCTGTTTGTACCTTTGACTCCATGTGTTTATGTGTTGGGCTCTGTTTGTACCTTTGACTCCAAGTGTCTGTGTGTTGGGCTCTGTTTGTACCTTTGACACCATGTGTCTGTGTGTTGGGCTCTGTTTGTACCTTTGACTCCATGTGTTTATGTGTTGGGTTCTGTTTGTACCTTTGACTCCATGTGTTTATGTGTTGGGCTCTGTTTGTACCTTTGACTCCATGTGTTTATGTGTTGGGCTCTGTTTGTACCTTTGACTCCAAGTGTCTGTGTGTTGGGCTCTGTTTGTACCTTTGACACCATGTGTTTATGTGTTGGGTTCTGTTTGTACCTTTGACTCCATGTGTTTATGTGTTGGGCTCTGTTTGTACCTTTGACACCATGTGTCTGTGTGTTGGGCTCTGTTTGTACCTTTGACACCATGTGTCTGTGTGTTGGGTTCTGTTTGTACCTTTGACTCCATGTGTTTATGTGTTGGGCTCTGTTTGTACCTTTGACACCATGTGTTTATGTGTTGGGCTCTGTTTGTACCTTTGACACCATGTGTCTGTGTGTTGGGCTCTGTTTGTACCTTTGACTCCATGTGTCTGTGTGTTGGGCTCTGTTTGTACCTTTGACTCCATGTGTTTGATTGTTGGGCTCTGTTTGTACCTTTGACTCCAAGTGTCTGTGTGTTGGGCTCTGTTTGTACCTTTGACTCCATGTGTCTGTGTGTTGGGCTCTGTTTGTACCTTTGACTCCATGTGTTTATGTGTTGGGTTCTGTTTGTACCTTTGGCTCCATGTGTCTGTGTGTTGGGCTCTGTTTGTACCTTTGACTCCAAGTGTCTGTGTGTTGGGCTCTGTTTGTACCTTTGACTCCATGTGTCTGTGTGTTGGGCTCTGTTTGTACCTTTGACTCCATGTGTTTATGTGTTGGGTTCTGTTTGTACATTTGGCTCCATGTGTCTGTGTGTTGGGCTCTGTTTGTACCTTTGACTCCACGTGTCTGTGTGTTGGGTTCTGTTTGTACCTTTGACTCCATGTGTCTGTGTGTTGGGCTCTGTTTGTACCTTTGACTCCATGTGTTTATGTGTTGGGCTCTGTTTGTACCTTTGACACCATGTGTCTGTGTGTTGGGCTCTGTTTGTACCTTTGACTCCACGTGTCTGTGTGTTGGGTTCTGTTTGTACATTTGACTCCCTGTGTCTGTGTGTTAGGCTCTGTTTGTACCTTTGACTCCATGTGTCTGTGTGTTAGGCTCTGTTTGTACCTTTGACTCCACGTGTCTGTGTGTTAGGTTCTGTTTGTACATTTGACTCCCTGTGTCTGTGTGTTAGGCTCTGTTTGTACCTTTGACTCCCTGTGTCTGTGTGTTAGGCTCTGTTTGTACCTTTGACTCCACGTGTCTGTGTGTTAGGTTCTGTTTGTACATTTGACTCCCTGTGTCTGTGTGTTAGGCTCTGTTTGTACCTTTGACTCCATGTGACTGTGTGTCTTTCATGTGTATATTTGGCTCTGTGTCTGTGTGTATTGGACCTTGTCTATGTATTTGGCACTGTCTGAGTGAATATGCTTGTGTATATGTGGCCCTGTGTGTGTGTGTGTATATGGCTGTGTGTGTTTATTTGGCTTGGTGTATGTGAGTGTTCATTTAGTGGTAGACTGATCATGACATCAGAAAAGTAGATCTGTAAATAAATAACAAGGCCTTCTTTCGAACTTTGAACTGGAAAATGGCTTATTTGGATTTGATGACATGCAATGAACCGAGCCTGATCACACGTTCTATTTGATCACCTCCCACCACAAGTAGGGATTGCTGGGGTCGCGGAGTCGCCGCGGGTGGAGGAAAATACTAAATACTACCAGAGGCCATATATCAGTACAGAGACCACATATCGGTTTAAGACCACATATCATTATACAGACCACATATCGGTTTAAAACCACATATCGGCACAGAGACAATGTATCGGTACAGAGACCACATATCGGTACAGAGACAATGTATCGGTACAGATACCACATATCGGTACAGAGACCAATTATCGGTACAGAGACCAATTATCGGTGTTGAGACCACATATCAGTTTAGAGACCACATATCGGTACAGAGACCGATTATCGGTATAGAGACCACATATCGGTACAGGGACCACATATCGGTATAGAGACCACTTATCGGTACAGAGACCAATTATCGGTGTTGAGACCACATATCGGTTTTAAGACCACATATCGGTATAGAGACCACATATCAGTTTAGAGACCACATATCGGTAAAGAGACCGATTATCGGTATAGAGACCACATATCGGTACAGGGACCACATATTGGTAGGACGTTCCCTTCTGTCCCGAATAGTGAAATGAGAAATCACTCAGAATTAATCGGCATCGTAACATTGCGATGAAAAACGAAGTAACCGAGTCCCACGGAAATGTTCGTCTGCCCCTCTGGCACCTCACTCACAACCTATCGTCTTCATCTTCGTTTATTCTGAGAAAGTGAATGTTTCCAAGACGTTCTCTCTTCACCATAACTGTTTGTTTGTTAGTCTATTTGTTGTTTAACGTGGCACTCAGCAATATTCCAGCTCTATGACGGCGGTCTGTAAATAATCGAGTCTGGACCAGACAATCCAGTGATTGACAAACATGAGCATCGATCGACACAATTGGGATACGATGACATGCGATCCTGACCACCCGATCCCGTTAGTCGCCTCTTACGACAAGCATAGTCACCTTTTACGGTAAGCATGGGTTGCTGAGGATCTATACCAAGACTGTCAACAGATACGGATAAGCGCATATTTTTCACCATAAAAAGTTGTCGGCCTGTTTTTGAAGAAGAAAACTCTGATCGTCCTCAAGGGAAAATAATGTTGACTTAGAACTTGTTATGCTTGCTACCAATACTCCTTTTGTGTAAATGTTGAAAATCAGTTAATTCAATATATTACTGGGACAATGGCTCTTTAATCCATTGTGACACTGTGTCCATATGACGACACATTGGCGAAGGCCGCGTATCATGAGCAAGTGTTTATGAATCACTATAAAATAATGATGATGCCAGGGGTTCGCGAAAAGGTGAACCTACATGCCCAAACACATACAAAGGCAAGTCAATTGTTCATCTGACAAAACACGGAGTATGGTACAAATCAAAATAGGGAATTGCATCAGACATTATTGTTGTCATTGATGTGTAAAATTTGGAATTGCCCTCCACGTGTATACAATAATGGGACAATGGAACAATGCAATAGCCAATCAACATGAAGTCGAAAGTTCAATAAGAATTACTGAAAATATTTGCAATGGTATCCTTGTCTCTACAGGTAATACATGTTGATGACGTATACTATGACAAATTGTTTGATAGGCATTACTTAGAAGTTGACGGATGACAAGGTAGACACAATTGTATGGGTAAATACTTCTTTAATACTGTGAAAAGCGACGTTTCTGTATAGATCCTTATACCGTTGTCAAGGATCTATGCCGAAACGTCGCTTTTCACAGTATTTAAGAAGTTGTTATCAATAAATTGTGTCTACCTTGTATACTATCACAGTCAGTGATAAAATACTGATGGAATATCTGATTTATGTTTTAAGGATGTCAGCCAGTATGATTTTTTAACATCACCTCTCCTGAGTGGAAATGTCTTTTCCGACCAAATGTAAGTATATCTATCTCCGATGCGAAGCTGAAGACACTAAGAATCCGACTGAAAGTCAAATGTCATATATACGGCGTTTTATATCAAACAAAGTGGGAATTATCGTCATGATACTGCGATCTGATTCTCTCGTGTCCCATTTTTTTCATTTGGACAGATTCAATAATAAAGATGTGCAAACATCCATCTGAGGAAAATTCAAAAACATATAATATAAACCGGAGCACATTCTTAACGTCGTATTCAAAAGCAGTTCGGTCATACCAACACAAGATGATATATGCATTGTCCATCAAAGGAAATTTGACTTTGCATTTAAACTAGTAAAACCTATTATTCAGTTGAAACTATGACAACATTAAATGGACGACCCTCCCCTCATCTTGCGCGGTATTCTTGTCAAGTTACGACATTCAGTTTATCTTCAGGGGTAGGCACAAAGTGACACGTCGAAGGTTTTTTTAAACTTATTGTTGTGAAACTCAAGCACCAGTGTGGCCCCAACAGCTCAAGGATAATATGCAAGGAAATCATGGATTTGAACCCTCGACCTGCCCGACAGTTCCCACTGGGCCATCTTACTCTGGTAGAAACAAGAACCATTGGGTGCTACATTGTTTGGTTAATGCGAACGAAGGAACTATCGTGTGGACACACTTTTGAAAACCGTAAATGGATTAGTGTCAGTGATTGACTGTTATAACATCATCTGTATGAATGCGAACTAAGTCGGTCATTCCATGTGATCACGCAAAACTACACTTCAGTATGCGTCAGGCAGATAAGAACATGTGACTATA